GTAAAACACAAACCAACGCTCTTATGAAACTGTTGCTTCCAAAAAATAAAACGTTGGTCTCTATCGTCTTTATTCAGCTGAGCCTCCACTTCAAACCTCTTTGGCAAGTCTGGATACGCCAAAAACCTCCGACTATAAGCCACCAAAGCAACTTTACAATAACATAAGAAAAAGAGAAGAAACAAAGCAATTTTGTTAATTTTTGGTGGATGTGGACAGGTCCAATCTGATATTTCTGCACAAAGCCCATTTGAATATCAGGCCCATAAATGGAAGTGTTGCTATTTTTATTAAATTTTATTTTTCAACTGTTTTTAATTGAAAAACAAATGACATTGTAAAGTAAAGCAAACAATAATAAATTCTGAAATTAACCATGTGATTCATTTATAGAGAGCATATGACATTTGGCAGTTATTTTCAGATGTTTCAGAGGAAACATAATGAAGTGGAAGTTAAAAGAAGTTGGATGGTTTTCATTTCTATTAACAGATTAATACTGTTCTATTGGGTCCATTTAACAATAATGTCGTCCATCTAATATCTATATAAGTGATTATTTGGTTTCATTAAATTCATTCACTCAGAAGTTCGAATCCATTATCTAAATTATACGTGATTAAAAGTGTTTAGACTACAATTTGGTTCACTAGGTTCTCGTAAAATATGGTACGAGGAGTCCTTATTTTGTCATTTATAAGCAAAAGTATATACTATATCAAATACTGAAATACATATATCATAAAGTTTTATTTTGGATAAAAGATTTATTTACTAGTAATTCAATATATAGAAAAGTTTAGTACGTATTATACAGTTTTGTGATGTTTTACTTTGTTTTTATCTCGTTTATAAAGAAATAGGGCCCAATGTCTCTTTGTTCGGCTTTATTTAGCGTAGTATCGACTTAGCATACTAATCCTTTTGCCTACCTTATTCAAGAACAAATCAATATATTAATTAGAATTACTTGTTTTATCTACGTTACTTAATTAACTCATATCGGTGTGTTGGGTTATTTGAAAATGTTTTCTGGTATGGAACATGCATTTTAGTCAATAAAGTCATTAGACCTATCCATGCACTAGTTTATGTATGAATGAATAATATGACTCACTACTTTATGTATGAATGAATAATATGACTATTGATTAGGCGTTTTGACCTAATGTCTATGTGTGTCAAATTATTTTTATGGGGGCTTAGCTTTAAATTTTAAATGGTGATGCAAGACAACACTAACACAAATTTCTACTCTATATGTTTTGATAAAACACTTAATTAATTTATAAGAAAAAATGTTTGATTAATCCGTATTTAATTAATTGGTACATTGATATAAATATGTAAGAACATTCTTTGATAGTTTTATTGTGCATAAATTGTAAACTTATATATATTTTATGATTCACATACAGTACTATGCATGTCTACACACCTAATTAAATTTTAAACCATTGAAAGTTCTGATATAGATAGATGCCTAATACTAGTTAGCTAGATTTAAAATTGTTTTAAAATCGCCATAAAAAGAGAATGAATTCATCAACTTGCTACATTTGAATTTGTATTTTCAAAAAGTGTTTTGTTTGTTACACTATGCATTAACAACATGGGTAATGAAATTACAAAAAGTTAAACCAACACTAAATCAACATTGTTGTTGCGGAATCACTCGTTTATCAAAGAAAAAACGAACACAAAATTATTGTTGTCGGCGTTGTTATCATTGAAAATGCAAAACTGGCAGTTAAATTGTTTAGCGTTTTGACTAATTAGCGGTAAAAAACTTTCGTTTTAAAAAATATATATATACAATTTAAAACTAAAATATTTATAAATAACTTAATCAATAAAGTAAGATCAAGTTAATCGGCCATATATTAATCAACCATACAGATACAAGTTATTTATTGGTTAACCAATATTTCTAAAATGGATTTATCAACTATGTGAATTTGAAACTAAAGAAATGAAAGAAAATTTTAGATATGATAAACAAATTAATATTTGCAAATGGCCCATGACAGTAGTGTTGGGAGCTGTTAAGGCAAAATTAGAATTTAATTGAAATAAAAATAAACAATGAATCATTATAAGCACCTCACACATAATTTTGATATTCAGTGGCTTAGGACAGTAATCGTCTTCATAGGCTTAATTAACTAAACAGCTGTGTTATAAGAATCAACCCATGTGGTATGTCTGTGATTATTATATTGAAACCTGCTCTACATATACTTCTTTCTATTATTAGTCTGTCGTTAATTACTTACTTATGCTTCTAATTTTCTTCTTTTCTCTTTAATTTTTTTTGTAAGAAACATAATTGCTATAATTGGATTCTTATTAAGATTTGGTCGTCTAATTATACATATTTCAACTCTCTAATGCAAACTTTGTGTATTGAAACTTTGTTCTTTGGGTATGATGGTTGGGATACAATAAACGATGGATAATAACATGAAGTTAGCTAATTCAATTCTGTCTAGTATTCAAACTCGTAGTTTTGAATATATGTTCTGTTTTTAGCTTTGACATATGTGAACTTTAGTCGAGTTTGTTGTTAATAATCTACACAATCACTATTGGATTTGAATATAAATTATGTCACGATAAGCCGATAACAATACTAATACAAACCACTTCGATACTTTTTAATCGATTTTGAAGAGTTTAACAAGAGCTAACAAATATGCAACCTTAATAGATTTTGAATTGAATGTTTGAATTGAAGAGGTAGAAGAAGCACATTTAAGATGGTCGTTCGCTGTTTGAGAGATGAGTTATAGCTATCTCTTGCCTCGAAGGCTAAGGACTAGAAAACAAATAAATACTACTACAATATAATTTCTCATATTTCTGTATTCCTATTTTAGTAGTAGTATAGAGAAAGAAACGAATAATAACACACTATTTTTATCATCTTCCCGTACGTGTAATATTAAGATGAGAGAGTCTTTAGTTACGGTACGTCTATTTCATCGGTCACATTTAGCTGTGTTACTTAAATTTTTGACGAGTTTTGATAACACCCTTTAAAATATATATACACTTTCATGATTATTTTCGTTCTTTTTATTCCTTCGATGACAAATATTAAAAAAGCTTTGTCCCTATATGCTTTGAACGTGCATTAATAATGTGTGGTGGAATTAAATATAATTCTTGTATTTTAACAAAAAAATATACATATTACAATTTACAATTGTTGTATTTGCAACCGTTTAAATAGATTTTTTGTAATTAGTTTTAACCAAAAAAAGATTGTTAGTATTTTTATTAGTTGTCATGCTTTTTCCATTATATTTCGAAGTAGTTGTTTAGGAAAAAAGCTTGAGGAAAATATGTTGTTTCTTATATCCAAAAGAACAACATATTTGAAAACAAAATTGAGTAGCTATTTGCTAAAAATATAAAAATTAAAATATTATAAATAAAATCTAAAGCTGCTTTAACTAAAAATATACCATCCCATTGTTTATTTGAATGAAAATTTCGTTTTCTTTAGCTCATATTTCTCAATAAATAAAACAATGAAACAAGATTGTTCGTTTTCTAAATTTGTGTATGTGGTACAGTTCTGTTCGTCGCCTTTGTTTGCTCACACTTAACTATTTGATAACAAAATAAAATAACGTTAATTATAGTGAAACATGATCAATAGCTTTTTAGAAGTAAGATTCAAAATGATACCACAAAACATGTTTAATCTAATCCATACACAAATGAACCGTTCCTAATTCAACTCTTTTATATTGTTTGAATCATTTCATTATTTCATTTTAGCATCAGTCGTATTAATTTCAATAATGTGTCGAAATTTATTGGTAAGATTTTGATATATCGTTTTCTTCTTCTGCGTACACCCAATTGAAAGCTCTATGCCTCTCTACGTATGAACAATAGCTATTTTTTTTATTTTTCTTATAATCACAGAAAAAAATAAAAACATTAATACTGTCTAGCAGCATGTGCTTATGCTTTCCATTATAGTTTACTAGGCACGATTTCTGCAATAATTTAGACTAATAAAACATATATTATACAGCAAAGAAACATCCTAGTTATTCCATTAAGCTAAAGCATTGTCCTTTGAGAAAATAAAAACACCTAAAGTCTAAAGATACCTAATTATTTAAACAAATTGTGAGAAGTTTGTAGAAACAATTTCTCTAATTCATTTCTAAATTTAATCTATAAAATATATTATTCATTTTATGCTACTTATCACATTAAAGTTTGATTGTTGTAATAAAGGAGAAAGACTAACTATCTTATGGATAAACTAGTTTTTATTTACTATTCATAAATTTTAATTTTTATATCGTTATAAAAGATAAAAAATTTGGTTTACAACTAATTATTTATCCATAAACGGATTAGTATGTTTTATCGATTTTTTTTTTTTTTATAGCTTTGTTGCATTCACTCGAACCCTAACTACATATAACCTTCATTTAATTTACTCTAATCACATTGCTTACGTAAAATTTTGTAACTATTTCGATTCTAAATTTTTTGCTTTAATTGATAATCAAATTTAATGCAATACGTTAAACATAATTTATTTAACTAAAATGATTAAATATGGAAAAAAAGTTTTTATTTTTATTTAAGCAAAATTAAATGAACAAAAAAAAAACATTAAATTGAATTAAAATCGTTGCGACCTCTCTCTCCCTCCTCCTCTCTATGAACAATACTCCCTCCGTATTTTAATAAGTGTCGTTTTAGGATTTTCTTTTTTAAAAAATTAGATGTCGTTTTCAAATTTCTATGCAAAATTTCTTACTTTTTAATGTTTTATGACATCATAAAACATTAAAAAGTAAGAAATTTTGCATAGAAATTTGAAAACGACATCCAATTCAAAAAAATAAAAATCCTAAAACGACAATTATTAAAATACGGAGGGAGTAAACATTAAAACAGTTTTTGTATTTGGGTTTCTCTTTCCTCTCTCCATTAATCCCGATCTGACTCCTCTCTACTCAACCCTCCTTCCATTGGCGAACTTCGTTTTGATTCTCGAAAACCCTAATTCCTCTTCTCGATCCTCTCTATAGTCAAAATTTCTCCAACCGTCGACGACTGTTGCAGCAGCAGAGAGAGAGAGAGGCATTTTCCGATGAGAGTACTTTTGCTTCAGTGATGATGAAGATGATGATGATGAATCGACGAAGCAACGTCGTTAGATTTGAAGCTAAAGAAGAAGACAGAGAAGAAGAAGATAATAATGACGATTGTTTCTATGAGTCTCTAGATCGTGTACTGTCATCGTGTTCTTGTTCTACTTCAAACTCTGATTACGATTCTGACCCGAATATTTCTGATTCGATTCACGATCCGAGTCCGTTTCCTGTTCCTGTGTTTCCTATTGGAAGCTCTGGGTTTGAGCTGTGGAAATCTGAGCCTGAATCTGTGAAGGAGAGACGAATCAGGTTATTGCGTGGTTTGGGACTTAGTAATGAGCCGGATCTACCTCCGGTGAGTCAGTTACGGTCTAGAAGTCGGAGAAAAGGAATTGGTAGCTCTCATTTCTCTAGATCGGTTTCTTCTGATGTTTTGAATTCGAATCATCATGGTAAATGTGTGTTGAGATCAGATGTTGCAGGTAGTGACAATGTCGATCGAGAGTATACTGGATCTCGTATGCGAAACGATGGTGTTGATTTTATAGGCAATGAGCCGATGGTAAGATCTCTTAGGGACATTGTAGAGAAAGAGAGTTATGGGAATGGGAGAGATGTTGTTTTAGAGGAGCAAATGTGTACGATTAGGAATTTAGATACTGGGAGAGAGTTTGTGGTGAATGAAGTTCGAGAAGATGGAATGTTGGAGAGGTTGAAGGAAGTAGGTACTGATCGGCAGTTGACTCTGGAGGAGTTTGAGATGTGTGTTGGGACGTCTCCGATTGTGCTTGAGTTGATGAGGAGGCAAAATGTTGAAGATGTTTGTAAAGACTCTGTGGATTTGGATACTAATGTTAGTGGAAGCAGGGTGACTAAGCATAGAAGGAGAGGGAGTTGGCTAAAGAGTATAAAGAATGTTGCTAGTAGTGTGACTGGGTATAAAGAACGGCGAAGTACTGATGATAGGGATTCACCGTCTGAGAGAGGTGGTCAGAGGTTTAGCTCTGCAACTGATGATAGCCGAGATATGTCCTTTCATGACCCTGAGAGAGTTAAGGTTAGGCAGTATGGGAAGTCGTGTAAAGAGCTCACAGCACTTTTCAAAAGCCAAGAGATTCAAGCTCATAAAGGGTCGATATGGAGCATTAAGTTTAGTTTGGATGGGAGGTATCTTGCTAGTGCTGGTGAGGATTGTGTTATTCAGATTTGGAAGGTTGTTGAGTCAGAAAGAAAAGGGGAACTCTTGTCGATGGATAAACAAGAAGATGGAAGTATAAATTTGTTTCTTTTGGCAAATGATTCACCAGAACCAGTTTCAATGTCTCCAAAGAGAAGAGGGAGAACATCTTTCAGCCGAAAATCAGTGAGCTTGGACAATGTTCTTGTTCCAGAGGCAGTCTTTGGTCTTTCAGAGAAACCCGTGTGTTCATTTGTAGGGCATTTGGATGACGTACTTGATCTTTCGTGGTCAAAATCTCAGGTGGGTACTAGTTCCCGATCATCTCATTTCGCTATAAACTCTTATTTAAAGCATGAAGTTGGTTTTCAAACTGGTAACTTTTAGTTTGTGATGCGAACCTTGTTCACCTTACTAGTGCTAAGTTTAGGTTTTCTCAATTGTTATGTGAGAATCTGTTTCGTTAAGTGCGTCTTTCTTAATCAGATAAAAATCTTGAATTCTCAAGACTTCGCACTTTCATTGTTTTGTTTCCAGCACCTGCTTTCCTCTTCCATGGACAAGACTGTCCGTTTATGGGACTTATCTAGCAAGACATGTTTGAAAGTCTTCTCACATAGTGACTACGGTGAGTGGATATACCATCCTATTCCCCACCAGTGATCATGTTTTACTTTTGTTCTTAGTCTTTATGAAGCTAAGCATATATTGCTAGAAGAATATTAAGTCACTTTAGGTGTCAACTCTGTTCTGGAAAGATTCATATGTCAATATAATGGGGTTTGAATCTCAAGCTTCTTACACTTGTAAATAAATCCCTGAAACACAAAAATGAAATATAACAATTTCTATGTTGGTTATGTAACATAAGATTTTCTCTCATCTAGTTTTCTGTTTTCTGGACTCAGTGACTTGCATCCAGTTTAATCCGGTGGATGACAATTACTTCATCAGCGGATCATTGGATGCAAAAGTTCGGATATGGAGCATTCCTGATCATCAAGTTGTTGACTGGAATGATCTTCATGAGATGGTCACAGCTGCCTGCTACACACCAGATGGACAGGTATGCCATTAAAAGTTTTTTTTAATAATGAAGTGACTTCGGGTAAAACTAAATCACGCAGTACCTTAATAAAGCTCTCTTGGTTTGTAAAGGGTGCATTGGTTGGTTCATACAAAGGAACATGTTGCTTATACAACACGCATGGTACATAAGCTCAGAACTTACTTATCTGAAACATAAGTTGTTTCTCCATCTCGTCTTTCGAACTTAATATCTTTTTTGTTTATTCAGATAACAAACTGCAGCAGAGACGTGAAATCAATCTGAAGAACAGGAAAAAGAAAACCCATCACAAGAAAATCACTGGTTTTCAGGTAAAGCTAAAACAAGTTACACCCTTCTGTTATCATCTTTTAATTTATACTAAAGTTTTGTTTTGGATGGTGTACTGGTTTATCTGACTATTCTCGCGAAACTTTCACAGTTTGTGGCAGGAAGTTCATCGGAAGTGCTCGTCACATCTGCAGATTCACGTACGCGTGTTGTTGATGGTGTTGACCTTGTCCACAAGTTTAAAGGTAAACAACACTAAGCTTTTTGTTCTTAGAACTTGGGAGTTAGGTATAACTTTATTGTTCATGGAGGCGAATTTTACTGTCATCTAAGATACACATGAGTCCCACATTACATGAACATGATGTTCTTACACTTGATCTGGGGATGGAGTAACATAAGCTCAACGTTCTTACTAAGTATTGTGTGTTTTCTGAGTTTTAGCAAATTTTTCGGGTTTGCAGGATTTCGCAACACGAATAGCCAAATCTCGGCTTCACTTACATCAAATGGGAAATTCCTAGTCTCAGCAAGCGAAGACTCTAATGTGTATGTATGGAACTACGACTCAGACTCTCGAGCTGGAAGAAGCAAACGTGTCACAGTCACAAACTCATACGAACACTTTTACTGTCGAGACGTCTCTGTGGCTGCACCTTGGCCTGGCAAAATCAGTAACAACCAAAGAAACAACAGCCCCGAACAGCCACCCTTCACAGCCAGTAATAACCCTACGACACCTGTCAATGATCCAAACAACAACAAAACCGTCACCAACGGTATCATTTCAAGCGCCACAAACCGATACTTCTTCGATAGAATCTCAGCAACATGGCCTGAAGAAAAACTCTTATTGGCTGCAAAGAACCGAGCCCGAACTAGCCCTCGTGTGAGCGTGGACATGTCTAACATACAGGTTAACACAAAACCGAGTGCCTCGGCTTGGTCTATGGCGATTGTGACTGGCAGTTTGCGAGGCGAAATCAGAACATTTCAGAATTTTGGATTACCAGTTCGTCTATGAGGCAAAGAGAAAGGTTTACAAAATCAAAAAGCCCAAGGCGAAGTGAAAATTTTACTTAGGGCTTGATTGGTTCTCCCGCCAGCACCCTCCTAGCGGTTGCTAGCGGTCGGTTGCGGTTGTTAGCGGTTGGTACCAATCATAGAAAACGCTCCGTACCGCTTCGAGCCGCTCGAAATCGCTGAATTTCAAAAGTTCCTTCCCGCAAGCGTTTGCGGTTGCGGGCGGTAGCGGTTGGATTTAAAAAAAAAAAAAAAAAAAAAAACAAATTAACGTTCACTTATAATTATTATAATATATATTAATTCTATATATATCTTTCATCTTTGTATCACGTTCTCATCAGAAACCCTAATAATATTCTGAAACCCTATTCTCTCAATGTCTTCCACCCAAACTGATGAAAATCAAGAACCAAACGTAAGTATCATATATCCTTTTATTCATTCATCACCTCATGTGTAACTTATATTACGTATTGCTTTGCTTTTTGATTGAACATATGTTTCGATTTTTTTCTCGAATAGAAACTCACTTGCTTTTTGATTGAATTCAACGTTATTTACAGTTTGTCCCATTACTTGATGCAATTTTTGATGTTAAAGCAGATGCATAAAGTATGATCTTGTTACAAAATTTCTTTATTTTTGAATAATTATTTAGTACGTTATTTATGGTTTTAATTATTAAGCATATTCAATTTTTCTAATATTATCATAATAATATATTGGTGTTTTTATTTCTTTTTTTTGTAATATTTTTTATTTATTTTGATTATTTTTTTATTTAACTGCTACCGCACCCTTTGGTTTACCAGTCATAAAACTCCCGCAAACGCACCCATTTTCAAACGCTAAACCAGTCGTTCGAAACGCTTGGTAACGCTTGAAGCCGCAACCGCCCGCTTCCGCAAACTCCCGCAACCGCAACCGCAACCGCTGCGTTTAAACCAGTCAGGCCCTTAGTAAAACCATCTCCTGTCAAAAGTGTATAGATTGAGAGAAGGTTGGTTCGTCCACTGACTTCTCTTTTTTTTTTTTTTTTCTTACCACGCTTCTTTTATTTATTTATCTTATTTGTTATCTCTAAAATTTAAATCTCCAGCAAATATATATAATGTTATTTTTAAGAAAGATTCAAATAGGCAGAGAAAGAAACTTCATATACCAAAATAGTTTGCTTCGATGAAATTCTGTATTATTCAAGTTGAAGTTTGTAGGATTTGTCTTTGATGTTCTAACTCTTCAAGGAGAGATTATATGGTAAAAAAATTGTATTAACATTTTGTAATTTCCTTTAGGTTTATCTATACATGTAAATAATTCGTATAAAAGTTGTATTTTTTTGGTCAATTCATCATTTCAATGAACAATTTTATCTCTAGATCAGAGCGTCCATAACAATTCAGAGTATAATTTTGTCTCAGACCTCTAGGCTCTAGCTCTCTCTTAACCCTCCCATACCCAAAGAGATGGAGTCCCATGAAACTATACATTAAAATATCTACTGACAGGAAATCTAATTCTCGAATTCTCATTGGCTCTAAGAAAAGAACGTGACAAAAACTTTCCCTAAAGATAATCTTATCCACACATATCCTAGGAAACACATATGGGAGGGGACCACCTTTCACTTGTCTCAACTTCTATATAAACACACACAAGCACGAACATTTTCAGAACATCACATTACACTCTTAAGTCTTAAACGAAACAATGGCCCTTCAAGCTGCTTCTTTGGTCTCCTCTGCTTTCTCTGTCCCGAAAGATGTATTTTATTATCTCTTTCTATGTTTTATTAATCGAATCCTTTGTATGTTTATGACCTGTGTCGGAGATTAATTTGCATTTTTTGGTTGCAGGGAAAAGTAAATGCTTCAGCATCATCATCATTCAAAGAGTCGAGTCTGTTTGGTGTTTCACTCTCGGAGCAAAGCAAAGCTGACTTTGTCTCTTCCTCATTGAGATGCAAGGTACATAACACAATTTTAGTTCCACGTTTATAAGTATTTTCTTGGAAAATGATGATAAGAATAATTAAGATTGCTTCTACTCTGCAGAGGGAACAAAGCTTGAGGAATAATAAAGCGATTTTTCGAGCTCAAGCAATCGCGACTTCAACTCCATCGGTCACAAAATCTTCCTTAGACCGCAAGAAAACCCTTAGAAAAGGAAACGTGGTTGTCACGGGAGCTTCCTCAGGGCTTGGTTTAGCAACGGCAAAGGCATTAGCAGAGACAGGAAAATGGCACGTGATAATGGCGTGCAGAGACTTTCTCAAGGCCGAGAGAGCCGCTCAATCCGCTGGCATGCCTAAAGACAGCTACACTGTGATGCATTTGGACTTAGCATCTTTGGACAGTGTGAGGCAGTTCGTTGATAACTTCAGGCGAGCCGAGATGCCTCTCGATGTGTTGGTCTGCAACGCTGCGGTTTATCAGCCAACGGCTAATCAACCTACTTTCACTGCGGAAGGGTTTGAGCTTAGCGTTGGGACAAACCATTTGGGCCACTTTCTTCTTTCAAGATTGTTGATTGATGACTTAAAAAACTCCGATTATCCATCAAAACGCCTCATCATTGTTGGATCCATAACCGGTATATAGCCTTCTCACAAGAAGAATGCTTTATGTACTTACTACATATTCTAAACCCTAATCTGAAATCTTAGTTCTGTTTCTTATTGAACAGGAAACACTAATACATTGGCGGGTAATGTACCTCCAAAGGCTAATCTTGGTGATTTGAGGGGACTAGCAGGTGGGTTGAATGGGCTAAACAGCTCGGCGATGATAGATGGAGGAGATTTCGTTGGCGCAAAGGCGTATAAAGACAGTAAAGTGTGCAACATGTTGACAATGCAGGAGTTTCATAGGCGTTTCCATGAAGACACCGGCATCACTTTCGCTTCCCTTTACCCCGGTTGTATCGCGACGACTGGTTTGTTCAGAGAGCATATTCCTCTCTTCCGTACCCTCTTCCCTCCTTTCCAGAAGTACATCACAAAAGGTTACGTCTCCGAGACAGAGGCTGGGAAAAGACTTGCTCAGGTAGGAAAATTAATCAAAACCTAATCTTGTTTGTGACGCAAGAAACCTTTCTTTCAGGTTCTTTTTCTTGTTATGTACTCAACCTATGTATTTATTTGTTGAAGGTGGTGGGTGATCCAAGTTTGACAAAGTCGGGAGTGTATTGGAGCTGGAACAAAACCTCGGCTTCATTTGAGAATCAGCTGTCTCAAGAAGCTAGCGATGTCGAGAAGGCTCGTAGAGTTTGGGAAGTCAGCGAGAAGCTCGTAGGCTTGGCCTAAAAATTGATCTGAGTTTCTTCCTCTGTGTGTTAACCTTTGGTTTGGCTTAAGATGAGAAATAAACAAAAGAGGAGACATTGATAAAGCTTGTACCAAATTTGACTTGGTAGTTGTGTTTTGGCTAATTCTATCTGTGACGAAACAAATAATTCCACTTTTTGTTCTTTCGGTATTCTAGTGTTCTCGTACGAAATAGAAACACAAAATTATTAGAGATTGGAGGAATAAATTGTTCATGTTGTTTGGTCATGAACAGAAAATGGATTAAATTCAGCTCGGAATGTTCAGATTTAACAAATTCTTTTTTCCGATCGAGATTTATAACTGTATAAATATAAAGGAAGAGAATAGTGGTTTATTCAATTTGAAATAACGTGACCAAAAAACAAAAAAAAAATCACATTGAAATAAAGAAAATAGTGTAGATAAAATTTTCTTTTATAAAAGAAAGTGCTACAGTTTTTATCACTGATCATATATATTTAACGTTAAAAGTCAAAATAGATATTTATTTGAACTAACTGTTAGCATACAACTTGAGTTACTGATCAATTTGTAAAAGTGTAACAGTTCTATATTTTGTTTCAAAGGTTATATAACGAAGATTCTTAAAATGTAACTCTTGTAATTAATGAATATGCGTTCAACTTTGAGTTACTCTATAAATTGTTTGTTTGTTTTGATACCCAAACCATCTCTCAGATACTCAATCAAGCAATTCCCTCTTTATTCTCTATATCAAAAGGAAAATAAGGAAGCAATATATAGTTGCAATGGAAGGTAGGATTGAAACTCTTCTCTCGACAATTCTTGTTGTGTGTACTTTGTGTGCCACTACTCTATTGAGGCCGGGGATAGCCGAGATCCAGTCCACACCTCGATTTCATGGTTCTCCAATTGATCTCACAAAATGTTGGTCATCGCTCATCAACATTCAAGGTTGCCATGTCGAAATCTTTAAATCTGTTTTAACCGGTATGTTTGAAAACGTTGGACCAACATGCTGCAAGGCCTTAACGGAAGTGGATGCTAAGTGTTGGCCAAAAATGTTTCCGTTGAATCCGTTATTCCCTCCTCTTCTTAAGGATGGTTGCTCTCGCATCATCTCAGGTGCACCCGCACACACGACACCTCAATTCTCTTTCATCCCTGGTTCTCCGATCGATCTCACAAAATGTTTGTCATCACTTGTCAACGTTGAAGGTTGCGTAAGTGAAATCCACAAATCAGTTTTCACATGAAAGTTTGGTAAAGTTGGACCAATGTGCTGCAAGGCGTTTTCGGCTGTGGATGCAAAATGTTGGCCACAAATGTTTCCGTTTAATCCGTTCTTCCCTCCTCTTCTCAAGAATGAATGTTCTCGCATCAAGGCAGCCACTCCTACACACAAGTGAAAGTAACTATAAAACCATCAATAAAAATGGCTTTAAACTAAGCTTATTATAGCCTTATAGTTCAAATATTGAAGAATTTCCTCTAATTCCAATCAGTCATGGAAGATATTTCACTTGCATGGTTTGCTTGTTCTAGTTTTTATCTTCTTTAGTAATAATTTAGTTGCAAGTTTCTGGCAACTTTCATCTTTTTAAAACCATTTATTCTTAAAAAAGCTAAAACAGTATCAGTAACTCAAATCAACACTGAAAGACATATAGAAAAGGATTTAATAAATCAAATAAGAAACATACGTGACAGAGCAAATTAAGAAAAAAAGGAAAGGGGACCTGTCAGCCCGCCGTGCGACCACCCCGGCAAGGTAGAACCGAGCCGAGTAACGATCCTCTACAGCACCGGATGCGTCCTAAGACGACCGTAGCCATCAATCACGCTCTAGTTGCACGGTCATGGTTCATCAACCAGGGTTAAGGGCCTGTCTCTTGAGAAATCAAGGAAACAGAGGTACGAGCCTATAGAACAGATCCTGTTCAAGTAAGGTCGTGACCAATGTTGTTCACCCAATATTATATATACAGCAACATTGTGCTTCAAATTAGCGATGTGGGACAAAATTAAAGATCACATTAGAAATGCATGCATGGGTTCAAAATATATGGACGAAGGCCCACTTAATTATATATATAAAGCCCATCCTTAACTTAGCGTTGAAAAGTGGTCATGAAGTCATATGACAGATTTACGAAGTATAGCAATCGAGTGTGATAAAATTCGTTCTCAATCTTGTTTCTGAGTATATAACATTACGTGCGGGTAACGACACTATCATCACAACCAGAAGATGTGAAAACATAACCTGTTAGAACAAGCAAAGCAGTCATTCATGTCCCAATCATTGTTTTTTTTTCTTAGATCCGAAACTTTTCTTCCTTTCTTGGATTACCAATGATGAAACCTAGAACAACTACAAATTCAGCGTTTCGCAGTGACTACATGGCCACTCGTTGTAATAGTTATGCTTCTAGGGGAAGCACACAGATCAAAATGGCAAACTAAATGTTGCGTTAGCCTTAAATACATAATCTATATAACCTTAAATGCCCAAACTAAAGGTTGTGTTATTTTGGTAATGGAAAACTACAAATCTGTTGTAACCGGAAACGTTGGATAAACTTGTTGTTAGGCACCTTTCTTTTGCGGGTGCAAAAATGTTGGCCACATGTGTCTCAATGCTCATAGCTCCACACACAACTGAAGAATGCTCTAATCTAGCTAGTAGCACAAAGAGTTTACACTGCGGAAAGTTGATGTGGTATATTTACAAACCAAATATTCTTGTTCACAGAAAACATTTTCTTAACATCTTATTACCATTAAACACTATTGTTTTGATGGGGATTTAATAATGCCCGTTGAATCTCATTCTATTCGTTGGTGATAATTAATAGAGAAATCTACATATACATTTTAGCAGTACTTTTTGCTTTAATTCTTTTGGATCCGGGTTTGACCCGGTTTTATTGTGTTCGGATCTTGGATAAGCAATTTTAGGGATGTTGTCTTAATTTCAAACTGATAAATGAAGCCATGTTGTCTTTAATTCATCTACTTATTCCGTTTAATGTTTCTTTAATTACAAAGAAGTTACCTATTTTAATGGTAAATAATCTTTCATATTAATGACCCTAATAAATAGCCAATTTTAATGGAAAATCGTTTTTCATATTTATGCTCATAATAAATGTCCAGATTTTAACAATAAATATATTATGAAATTATAAAGAAAAATGTATTTATTTTTTAACAGTATATATATATATATATATTATGTTAATATATATATATATATATATATATATATATATATATTATGTTAATAAATTTGTGTAAATACTCCAATAATAAGCTACGTCATTTTTCTTTTACAATAACAGATTAAATATAGGCAATTCCCCATTTAAATTGCAATAAATTTAAAATCAAAATAACAATTAATATATACATTCATAAGGAAATCATAATAAAATATGTTTATTTGAAGATTATATATCCTAATCTTCACATAATCCGTAATTATGTTTTTGATATATTTGAATATCTACTATTAAATTTCTAAAGGATTCTCAAAATATTTTTTATAGTAAATATTGTTTTTACGAATAATATTTTGTTTTGTTATAAAAAGTAATATTTGTTATTTTTCTAAATTATTTTTCTAATTAAATTACATAAATATTAATAATAATTTGTCTACACCATCAAATGAAAATAGTTAGTTATATAATCTTTTATTTAATATTACGTAATATATATATATATATATATATATATATATATATATATATATATTTTGGTAATATTTTATGATGTGGGTGAACAAATTATTTTCGTATTTATGTAAACAAAACAATAAAATCTAAATTAGTTTAAAATTTGAGATACTATAATCCCAAAAATAAAACTAATTGGAAACTAATCGCAACAATCATTCTACATAAATGGCATATTCTTTACAACATTACTAAATCGCATTTACTGCATTATTCGTTTCCAATTATGATTACAAATCTTTGATTAATTTAATGGTATTAAACTCATATCTACATATACATTTTTACAGGTTTTTTTTGCTTTTAATCATTTGGATCCGGGTTTTACCCGGTTTAAACCTATTCGGATCTAGAATAAGAGATTTAAGGAATATTGTAATAAAAACGACATTTAAGACTAAATTAAACATACAATTCGTTTTAATCTTATTTCCTTAACTACTTCCCACATTAATTGGTTCTATTCCTTTTTATCAATAGTAGCATTAAAGATTTTCCGTTTACGAATCTTGCAAAAATCTCTGCTTAGTCCACGATTAGTTTCTAAAATAAAATCTCCGAGATATTTGATAGCATTTAATTAATACCAAATTATCATTTAATTCTACATATCTCTAACCAAAAAAACGTCATTAATATAGATAATTACACATATATTTATGTTTCCTTATTCCTTAACTTCTTCCCATATTAATAGGCTATATTACTCTTTATCTGGAGATGATTTTCAAATATTTATGCCATCTTAACTAATTACATCCACATACCATATATCATCTCTATTCTCTTTATATTATGCAATAAAATATTTTTAAAACATAATTATGGCTAATTAAATTCTTTCCATTATATGGTTCTCTTCTCTAATTGAATCCATAATTCCCGCCCAAGAAAATCTCAACGATGATACCATAATTATATACTCTTCGATATTTTTCTTAACATTTGATTTTAAGAAACAAAGTTATGACTATAATTATTTTTTTAATTCGGTTTAATGTAATTTCCTAAACTAATTACCACATTAATCGGCTATATTACTTTTAAATGGTTGCTTAGCTTTTTTTTAAGATTCTCTGCAAAACCAAATCATTTACAATCTTTTTCAAATAAATTTTGTTATATAACAATTTCCTAATCTTTCCTTAAACATATCCTAAACTTTCGTTGTATATAATATCTTTGATTTTCTACTTTCTCTCCAAGATATTATCAAACTACCTTAACAATAAACTTAGATGCCTACCTACCCTATAAATACCACACTTTTACTCGACTAGAAGACTCATCAAACAAATACCTCTTCTTACCCATTCCAATCTTTATTTGTTATATGAACTTTCATTTTTCTGATTCATGAATTTAATAAACATTTGATGTCTTGCGCAGATAATCCTATACAAGATGAGCAACCCATTGATGATTGCCATTATCAAGAGCATATGCTTTAAATTTACGTCAGATTCTTTCATATGGTTAGTTTTTTTTATTCACCCTATTTTTTCTTGGTAAATCTTCATGTTTAATGATAATCTTAATATATATATAAGATAACTACAGTTTGATAGCATTGATTTTTAAAAAACTTAAAAGAAAAAATAAAAAACGAAAATACAAACTATAAAAAAGTCTAACTTTATTAAACGTTTTAATTATTTATAATATTATAACTTTTATGAAGTTTCAAATATTATAAATATTTGAATTTTATAAGAATTTATAAGTAGTTTAAACATTATAAATATTTATAAAAGATATTAATACGAGACGGTATACTACGGGTGAAATCCTAGATATAACAATCAAAATACAATTATGAAGTTTGGGTCGTATTAAAACTTTTATGAAGTTTCAAATATTAGAAATATTTGAACTTTATAAAAAAAATTACAAAAATGATGTTTAATTTCACGGGACGGGGTTATATAGTGGGACGGATTTAGATCGATATTAATACGGGATGGTATATTACGGGTGAAATCCTAGAATTAGCGATCAAAATACAATTATACAATCTTAAACACTAAATAAAACAAATACAACTTAAATTTTGATTTTTTAGTTATAAAATATTGACATGCGGTTTACCATATATCTATAGATCATTCTAAAAAAATCATTTTTTTATTTAGGGAAAATATAGACCCGCGGTGTACCGCGGGTTAATATCTAGTATAGAGTTCCAATTATAAACATTTTTAAGACTGAGGAATTGTTGGAGGTTTATATTTGGTAATAAACCTTTCCAAAAGTAGGCGTATGCCGCTAAGAGCAGAGAAGACACGGTATTCTTTAGTAAAAGGCGAAAGAATAGTTCGCTTTGTCTTCACTGCACGGCTGCGTGAGTTTTATTGACTTGCTCTCGATCTGTATATATAGTCGAGTTTTATCACTGTTCCTGAGTTTTGCAGGCGATGTGGGACTCTCTAATCAGTAAGAAAGAAAACAACGATTATTGGGTCCCTTTATTAATCATAGCTTGTTTATTTATAAGCCCATCAAGAAAGAAAAGAAGTCCTAATTGTTTTAAAACCGGAGATTTCCATCTACGTCCAAACCGAATGGTTGTCTGGTTTTTAACCACCGGTTTCCATCTAAGCAGACACTCCTAGCAACAACACTACATCCTCGAAGTTTATACTTTATACCTTCCTCATTGCCAAAAGTGATTTTTATAGCTTTATAGTAGTTAGTTCCAACTTCCACTGTTCAAGAATTTCTTTATTCCAGTCATTCATGGAAGATATTCACATGTATGTTTTAATTCAATACTTAGACACGCTCAAGAAACAGAGCAAAACAAACGGAGAAATTTTGGGGGGAAAATATGTTACCCTGTCAGACCGCCGTGCAACCTCCTCGGAAAGGTAGAACCGAGACGAGTAACGATCCTCTACAGCACCGGAGGCGTCCGAAGACAATCATAGCAGTCAATCACGCTCTGATCGCACGGTCATGGTTCATCAACCAGGGTTAAGGGCCTGTCTCTTGAGAAATCAAGGAAACAGAAGTAAAAACCTATAGATGAGATCTTGTTCAAGTAACGTCGTGACCATCGTTGCTCTCTCAGTGTCTATATACAGCAAGTTTTGTTTAGACTTGAACGATGTGGGATAGATGCAATATCTTGTAATGTGAATAAACTGCTAAGGCCCATATTTAAATCCCATCTCTTAACTCATTGCGGGTTTGGTTGCATTATGTGCGATGAATTGATCTCCTAAAAACGTGATAGTCAAAAACTTCTGTTTTTGGATCCACATGTTTCACGAGTTTGTTTTATAATTGTTTACATGTTTCACGAATGAAACTCAAATATTTTCTTAAATTATAGCGTTTCCTATATAGTGTATAAGAAAATGCATCACAAAATTGTGCATAGATGGTGAATAGAACTGAGAAAAGTCTGAGTTATTCGGTTCACGAAAAAAATAAAAATGAAGAGAAAATGGATGAAATTCAGGTTGGGAAAAACTACCGAAGGTTGTATACGAGTAAAATAGGGATTTGCTCAACTAGAGGCTTAAAAAAGCTGAAAAAATTGAGTATAGAATTTGTGTAATTATAGAACCAAAAAACGTAACAGATTTTAATACATATTTTAGTCTTTTAATACATCCGATTTGTTCGAATCCAATTGTGAAGTGTAAAACGTCTATGTCTTATTTCAAAGATTGTCATAACGGACGATTCTCAAACTGTAACTCTCGTAATGAATTTATTGTATTCATTAGTTATTTGACCCTATAAAATTTTCTTTTCTTTGGATACCTAAAACCATCACCAATTAACCAATGGACTCTCCTCTATAAAACAGAAAGGAGACAAGTTCACCATGAAAATAGTGATATCATGACAATGTTGCATCGGAAGAATCTCAAGAGAATCTGAATTGTACAATGTCCAGTTGTGTAGAGGTAGTTGATCTCTTTTAATCTCATCAGCTTGATTAAATAAAAGTGTCAATTCATGAAGGTTAACTTAGATCAACTACCTCATTGTATGATGCACGATATAGCACTATACAACTCAGATTTGAGGCTGATGTCACTTGAGTTTCTTCCTATGCAATTGTGTGATGATGTCAATGTCACTATTCACAAACTTTTACTACGAAATTAGTTTTATAGGCATTAATGTCAGTTCTCTCGTACGTCTCATTGCTTCTTCTTATTATTTTGTAATGGTTATAGTCAAATATCTCTTGTTCTCATCAATGACTCTATGTTTTGGATTGTTAGTGTTGGCCACAAATCAACTAAAAAAAAGAACCGAGTGAATGAAAAAAAAAAAAAGAACCTGTCAGACCGCCGTGCGACCACCCCGGCAAGGTAGAACCGAGCCGAGTAACGATCCTCTACAGCACCGGATGCGTCCGAAGACGATCGTAGCCGTTAATCACGCTCTGATCGCACGGTCATGGTTCATCAACCAGGGTTAAGGGCCTGTCTCTTGAGAAATCAAGGAAACAGAGGTACGAGCCTATAGAACAGATCCTGTTCAAGTAAGGTCGTGACCATTGTTGTTCACTCAAAGTAATATATACAGCAAGTTAAGTTTCTATACGAGCGATGTGGGACTTTTTCGGTGTATATTACATGCTTGATTTGGCGATATACGGGCCAAGGCCCACTTAGTTATTTTCAAAGCCCAATTTTAACTTATATGCTCCAGATAAACTCCAGTCAGGGTAAAGTTTGCTCTGAATCCTTTTTATTGCTCCAGTTTTGCAATGTTCTCTTGTCTTTGTGATCGACATGTTCTCTACTTAGTTTATAAGTTTTTTACATAATATCATGCATAAACTAACCCGAGCAAGAACATTGATACTATAAAATTAAGACAGGTAAAGTATTAATGTTGATATCGAAGTGAGAATTTGTGATAAAAACTCTTCAGTTGTAACTTCTCAATGAACTCAAACTTGGTCATTAACTTTGTTGTTTCCTTTTGTCACTCAATCATAAACAAATCATTTCAATATTATCAGCCGCCTTAGAGAATCTTTCAGCTGATACTGTCAAAAGCTTGTTAAGAGACATGTTCTCACCTCTGCTCTTCAACTTTTCTTCATACCGATGTTTGATTCTGCTATCAAGCTTGTACCCAAGAAATGCAGGAAATGCAAGAATTTCTTCGACTTCACGGCCCATGTACTCGATCAAATACTCCAGTTTCTTTTCTAAAGAAGTGTAATTATACTGCAGGACTTGAGGATGCTTTGTGCTCATCGCTAGAATGTCTTCAAACGAAAGACCGTAGCTCAAGTACAGTCCAATTACCCTCTGCATATTGTCAGTGCTTGTTCTGGTCACAGCTCCCATCGCAAAGGCCAGTTCCTTTGTTCTGTGCTTATATCCAATCTTTACTAAAAACCCGAGTTTGTGCGATAGATTATCTTCAGATAGAGCTAGAATCAACGGTGCTTTACTCAAGAATTTGAACATGCCGGGGGAATCAAAGCCACATTCCTTCAGAAACTCTATCCTCGGGCGCAGCTTCCTCTCTTTACTAGTGCTGATAACATTCGGGAACACATGAACAATCTTAAAAACTTGCTCACTCGTCAAGCCAGCAAAAGACTTGAGAAACTCGACGTGGCTGTTCATATGCTCAACACTATAACTCAATATGGCAGGAAGTCTACGTAGCACCGTTCCAGTAGCGAAATCGTCTTCCCCGCTAAGATTCCTAATGAAATCAACCCTAGGAATCAACTGACTATCCAAGTCACTGTTGAGAATCACTGGCCGCCTCGCAATTATACCAATTCCACCAAAAGGTTCCAAGAAACTAATCAATCTCTCAATGTCTTCAACTGATTTCTGATACAGCAGTTTATTTAGGTACACTTTGTTCAACACATGAGAGATCTTTTCTTTAGGTATTCCATGGAGGAGAAGCAATCTCACCTTCTGATTAAAACTAAGCAAGATAGATGTGTCTACCACAGAGAGTAAGCGCTCCACTAACTCAGGATCAAGCCTTCCTTCGAGTTCATCAACTAAGAAACTAATAATGGGATCGAATTCTTCTGAAGTCAATAAAGTAGGGCACTTTGCAATCAAACCCTGAAGCGCAAAGCCATCGATTTTCAGAGACTGAAGAGAAGCAACACGAGCACCAATTTTATCCAAAGATGCCGACTTTATGTCTGGGTTCTTCGCTAAAATCATCTCAGTTTCTTCTTCAATAAACCCAATATCTCGGAATAACGAAAACAGAGACTCTGAAAAGCAAAAGAGAGATACTGATTAACGCACACCAAGTGTTTGCGAATATGCTTCAAAGAGGAAAATAAATGCAGAGAAGTATCAGATAGTCAGATTCACATACCAATTTGACTTCCGGCTTCAATCGGAGAACTAACGCAACTACATCGGAAAATTAGAGAAGGTTCTCGATGATTTAAGCAGCTGATAAGTAATGGCTGTAGCTGAGACCGAAATGTAGAAGAAGCAGGTAAGGTTCCATTGGAATAGAGAGATGTAACCGACGGGAGATGAAGGCGGAGACTAATCGGTGGTGAGAAAACGGAGAAGGAACAAGAGACGAGAGATAAGATCACCATGGCTATATCCAAGAAGGACCAAAACCAAGGTTTCTGATTTTAACGGTCGTGTTTGATTCCAAGATGGGTTTAACTTTAATAACCAAAGATTACAAAGACGTAGTCAAATGGTATTGGGCCTGAGGAAAGAACTTGTTTCGTTTTAACTTTTAAGAATGGGAAATTGCAATAACGTAACCCTCAAACTTTTAATTTTATGCAATTTATTTACGCTTCATCTGCTAAAAATGTATTTGTACCTACCATTCAAACTCACTAAAAAAACGAACAATATGAACATTAATGAAGTGTAGAAGACTGTGTACAGATGAAATCACGTTTTTGGACAATGTTGTTTGGATCCATGACCTGGCCGATATATCCACAACACAAATTATTATTACCTTTGTGCCAAAATTATATTTAAGCGACCGCTAGTATCGCAATGTTACTATCTCTACCATCTTCACCATTATCACACGATTGTTGATGGCAACAATGGAAACGATCATGCGGGTAGCGGTGGTAATAGTGGTGACAACGGCCGTGACAATGGATTTAAGTGATCTTTTAGTCAGTACAAAGGTTTTCTTTTCCTCATGTAACATGTTATGGTCTCAATGCCCCTTGGAGGTAGTGATGAGTTTATTAAGATATGTTTGCTTGTAATTTATTATTATATCGTTCTTGCACAAGTGGGTAATGTGTGTAGTGACCTTGGCAAGGTCAAAGAATTCGAAATTCGTCTTTGCAATATTGTTCTTATTTGTTTTATGTCCAAAACAAACATAGTTGCATTACTCTAACATATTTAGCAGCACAAATGTACAATTTTTTTAATTGATTAGCTAAAGATGTTATTTACATAACACAAATTATTTGCAAAGGAGAACAAAATTTCATACTTCGGGTACAAAGAAAATCTACATGAAAAAATATTTTTCCGATTTTCATAAACTAACTCGAACTTGGAAACTGAAACTTTAAATTCTTAACTCAAACAATTTTGAAATGACTTATCGTTTTTTTTGGATAAGCGTAAATATTATGATAGAAATCATAACTATTAAATATTAACTAGTGATGACTGATAATCAAACTGTTATAAATTTATTTTTGTAAAAAAAAATGTGAGAAATTTAGCTTTAAAAAATGAAAGACCTTGTAAAAAGACGATCAAACTTTGAATACATCAAATAGATGAGTTAATGCTAGTGAGCAAAATCCCATAGTCAAGTCTTCTAAAAAAAAGTCAAAAAAATCATGTTTCAAGTTATAACCAATTGTTGACAAAAAAAAAAAGTTATAACCAAAGTTTAGATTTCACACACTTATAAAATGTGACATTAAATATGCGGCTATAAAATAACGTTACGGTATTAAAAGGACTAATAAAACTCAGAAATTTAATTTGGGGAAAGAAAAATAAACCCTACAAGATTTGAAGTCTTCCTCCTTCAAAATTTAGAAATGGTCCTTAATGGACGGTGGTCGTCGTTTCACACTCTCCGTCCACCATTTTTCTTGTTTCTCCTCCTCTAAAAAGCAATGGCCTTTCAAGCTCCATCAATGGCTACTACTACTTAGCGTCTACGAATAATAACCCTTTACCAATAGATTTATCTCTCTTCTTCTTCACCACTCGTGTCCCTTTCTTTGTCTTCTTCCTCTCACCGCCTTGAAAAGTTTTGATCTTTATCCAAATTAAAAAATCGTTTCTTTTTAGTTTCTTCTGAGTTTCAACTTATTTAAAGGCAGACCCTTTTTCTTACTTATCCTCTGCAAAGTTATGGCTTTGCTTGAGAGTATAATCTTAGGGCTTATTACAGGATGGTTAGCTTTTGTTGTTGGATTGATTATTGGATGGACATGGAAACCAAGATGGGTTTCTTCATCTTCTGATAATCGACAAGTGAAATTACAATGTTCTGCTCCAAGATCTTTTGATTTGTCTTTACCATCTTCTTCTCCAAGTTCTGTTGTTACTTCTCCTTTAAAGGGTTTTGGATCAGCTCCTTGCTTAAAGGCTCTTGTTTGTGATACATGGACTATGGCTTTAAGACAACAGAGAACAGTTTCTCCTGATTCTTCTTCTTCATCATCTGATTCTTGTGAACAACATGTGGGTTTAGTTTCAAGGTAAGCTTATTTGATGATGATGATGATTTAGTTATAGAAATGGGTTTTGTTTTGGTTTGTTAATTTTTGTGTTTTTTGGGTTTTGTAGAGTGAAGAAATCTGAGGAGAGATTGCCTAATACTGTTACTGAGTTAGATTTGAGACATCTTGTGCAATTGGTTGAGAGGAAAGATGGTGGTCAAGCTTGGATTCAGATGATGGATCGTTTTACTCCTGGTATGAGATATCAAGCTTGGTTGAGAGAACCTAAGGTAAATTTACTTGTTCTTGTGTTTTGAGATAGAGAGATTTGTTTCTTTTTGTCTCTTGATGGGTCTTTTGTGTTTTGTTTTTTAGAATGGTCCTACTGAGTATAGAAGCAGAACTGTGTTTGAAGATGCAACTCCGGAGATTTTAAGAGACTTTTTCTGGGATGATGAGTTTAGACCAACTTGGGATACAATGCTTTCTAATTCCTCAACTGTTGAAGAGTGTCCAAGTACTGGAACCATGATTGTTAGATGGATACGCAAGGTTAGTCTCTGCCTCTCTGGTTACTTTTCTTGTTTTGTAACACATGTTGATGATTGGTTCTTAGATTGATCTTTCCTTTTATGTATGTTTCCGGTGTTGCAGTTCCCGTTCTTCTGCAGTGATAGAGAGTATGTGATCGGTCGCAGGATATGGAATTGTGGAAACTCTTATTATTGTGTGACAAAGGTATGTGCTAGTAACAAAATCAAATCGTTTTTACATTTATTTGATAAAGACTAGAAGAGTATAGAAAGCTCGAGTTAGCGTATATGTCGGCTAGTTTTCTGCATAGGATTGCAACTGAATTGCTCTAGATCGAATAGCTTATGAAAAGGAAAAAGAGTCAGTTTTTGTGCTTCTTGTTTGCATTGGAAAGAATCAGTTACAATAACAACACTCTAAGATCTTCTCTCGTTCATGGTTCAGGGAGTATCGGTTCCTTCTATACCGCCTAACAACAAACAAAAACGCGTGGATTTGTTCTATTCGAGCTGGTGCATTCGGCCAGGTAAAGATTCGTATCCACCACTTTGTGATTTTTCAAGAACCGAATAACTTAAAAACAAAGTGAAACATTTTACTCAATTGGTAAAATTAATGCAGTTGAATCAAGAAGAGACGATGGATTAACAAGTGCTTGTGAAGTACTTCTATTCCACCACGAAGACATGGGGATACCAAGAGAAATCGCAAAGCTCGGAGTGAAACGAGGAATGTGGGGAGCAGTGAAGAAGATGGAACCCGGTTTACGTGCTTACCAAACACAAAGACTCTCAGGAGGAGGAACCAAGCTTTCTCGGTCTGCTTTCATGGCTCAAATCAACACCAAGATCACACAAGACCATCTCATTTCGCTAAGCAACGGCGCATCGCCTGTCACTGAAACTCCCGTTACACTGAACCAAGGAAACCGAGCTGCGAATCTGAAGAAACTGTTGATTATCGGTGGAGCTGTAGCAGTTGTATGCAGTTTGAGCGGAGGGGCTTTTGTTCCTCCTGCGTTTCTTTTAGGGTTTGGTAAAAGGTTTGTTAATGGTGGAAAAAAACGTCAGCTCGAAGGAACAACAAGAAGTCAGAGTCAGACCACTTCTCCATAGAAGCATCTTGAAACCAAGAATATAGATAAAAGCATATAAATTTAGATTCGTTTTTAGTAGAATGAGAATAATCCAAAACGCAGATGATTCCAAGATTAGTTTATAGAATTGGAATAAGCTGTCTGATTAATCTTTATACAAAAGGAACAATTTTTTTTACAAGTAATGAATAAAACTGAAAAATGACAGAACTCTTTATCATAATTATCATGAATCCTATTTGGTCTTGGTCCTATTTGGACCTGGACAGCCCAATTGACATCCCTAATCATGATCATCAAAATGGAAGAATAGTTTCAAAACAATGAACACCGTCAAGCTCTGGAGCTATCCTCATCGGTTGGATCTTCTTCTTCTTATTATTCTTTTCGTCGTCTGATGAAACCGGAGTTTTTCCAGCGTTCTTTTGCTGCTCCGTCGCCGGAGACTGATTCTTGGTGCCTGAGAATATCATCTTGAAGCCGTTGGATTCAGCGTTAAGAGCTTCAAAGGGGCTAAATATAGACATCATCCTCGAATTCTATTTGTTGTTATGATCGAATTTCTTCTTGCCTTTGAGATTTTGTAACTTTTTTTGTTTCTTGACGAGAACAAGAACGGACTTGTAAACTATTTATAATCGGTAACAAGAGAAGTAAAGCTAGAAGACTCTAGAAAGAGTAAGACAAGTTTGAGAAGTTTTGAGTTGATCAAGATTCGTTGAAACTAGTATGGTCGGTGAACGAACAGAGTCCACGTGGAAAATGTCTGAATGTGATTGATTGTATCGGATAATGTTTTTTTTTAACTGTGATTCAATAATGCTCATTATTTTATCTTTTCTTTAATTACATAATTTTGTTACAAACAAACAAAAATACGAGTACGATACATCATCAATAAGCAAATCGAAAAAAACAAACTCTAAATCAAATTCTTATAAAATCCATTATTAAACAGCATAGTTTTAAACCAAAGGTGATGATATAGCCGTGGATGTTGATATGACATAATGTTTTACATATAAATCAACTTTAAAGGGACATTTTTTTGGACTTTTAGAGCTTCTTGAGCAACTCAATAATGTTAACACCAAAAGCGTCGCAGACAACTTTGATGCCCTTGAAGCCTGATGCTTTGGCTAATGCCTCAAACTCTTTCTCAGTTCGTTCTTTGCCTCCGGGATTGTGAGCCAACATAATGCAATCGACATGGACTACTTGTTTAGTTGAGAGACTTGAGTCTGGTGTCTCTGGAAGGATACATTCTGCTAATATCACTTTTCCATCCTCTGGAAGCGCCTCGTAGCAGTTCTTCAAGAATTTCACGCAATGTTCGTCGCTCCAGTCATGACATATCCACTGTTACGACAATGAGAAATCGACAAAAAAGTGTCAAAGAGTTTTCGGTTTCAAGTGATTAGTAGAAAACCTAGTTAATTACTATTTACTAACCTTCATGAATATGGCATCACCTTTAGGGACACTTACGAACATATCTCCTCCAACATGCTCAATACCTGCATTGATTTAGGCAATAATTAAGTCGAAAATCTTCCAAGTAAATCGGATTTTGCGAAACGTTAGGAAAATGTTAATATACCGGGATGAGAAGGAGCATCTTCGATGACATGTGGGAGATCAAAGTTGATGCCTTTAAGGTTAGGGTACTTGGAGACGATCATTTTAAGAGTAGCACCAATGCCACCACCAACATCAACCAATGAAGTTAAGCCCTCGAAACCCTTGTAGGTCTCAAGAATCTTCTTCATGGTGATTGTGGAATGGTTAGACATTCCATTGTTGAAGACCTTGTTGAATCTAGGGTCAGTCCCGTGGTACTCGAATGCGCTCATTCCATAAGCCTTGTTGAATGGAATCCCACCATCAAGAATTGCATCCTTCAAATGGTACCTGAAATATGTCTCTTAGGCATGAGTTTAGGAAAACACACAATGACACAAACACTCCTTAAGCTTAACCTGACCCCTCAACCAATTTTTTTTTTTTCAAATTCTAAACCCTCAACTTATATTCTATGAGAAAACTAGATCCACGTCAAGTTGATTGTCTAGTTTGAGAAAGATCCGCCGGTTCACAAAGAAAACCAGCCGGTTTGTTTGAAGAAAACCAAAAGAAGATTTCAATATTTCAAGTCTTCTTTTTTCTTTTCTTGTTGCTCAAAAATCCAAAGACCGATTCTCTTGCTTTTATGATCCTATTATATTCCCCTATTTTGCTACTCAATAATAGGATTATAGGAATAACGATTACATCTTCTCTATTTAAAGCCATGAACAAACTAAAAATATAAAAAAAACTAGAGATAGTGTGTTTTCTGAAAAAAAAAAAAAAAAAAAGGTTTCTTCTAGCTCTTTTGATTGGAACTAACTAACATAAATGTTTTTGGCACAGTAACAAACAAAAAATTCATTTAAGCTGATCGTTATAACCACTAACTAATTAAAAGAATGTATATAATATAGTTTTCTAGTGGAGAGAGCAGGTTTAGACTATACGTGTCTTTTTATCTGTATTTGTCTGATTGTCTTTGACACTTTGTGCCTCTCTCTCTCTCTCACTTTACCTTTGCACAATTGTATTTTAATCACATCAACCAAGATACATAACTTATGAAACAACATTATCAAGAACATAAATTTTCTAGCATGATTTACCATAAAGATCTATTAAAACTCAGAAACTCATATCAAGAAAACTCACCAGCTTTCCATGAGAACCTTGTCTTGGTTCATAAGACAAAGAGCAGCAATCGAAACACCATCTTCGTTTTTGGTCAAATACTTGCAAACCGGACCAAGCCCGTAAATCCGTTCAACGCCGTCACCGGAAAGTTTACGGTTGGAGCAGGTGAGAACGGAGTAAGACGTAAGAAGACGGAGGATACGGTCGAGCATAACCGGAGCTTCAGGGTTTTTGGTCGGAAGATGAGAAGCGATCTCGGTCGGAGACATGGGAGAACCGTTCTTGGCCATGATCTCAAGAAGGTCTAGCTCTAAAGCAGATTTTAAAGCCATCGGAAGAACGGAAGCACTGGCTAGTTGCATGGCGAAGAGGGCAGCTTCGTCGTCGGTGACTTGCACCGGAGTTAATTGTGTCTCCGCCGTTGAACCCATTTTAGTGAGGTTTCTTGAGACTTTTTTTAGAGATTGCTCTGTTTTTTGGGTTACTCTGTTTTGAGGATTGTGTGATGGGTGAGAGAAGTGTGGAGGTTGAGAGGTTTATTTATATGAAAATATATTACAGAAGGTAGACGATTGGCATATTTTAACGTAAATTTCTGATCTGGCTTAATGATTTGGTCCAATTGAAAATGAGACACATCAGAAATTTTTTGTATTTTATCATATTAATAATAGGCCCTAATGTCAGAAAATATAATAAAAATAAATAATAGTATGCCCTGATAGGCCAGGAAAAATTAAATATTTCGGAAAGAATACATCCAAAAAAATTATTACGATCCATTCTAAAATTACAAATTATATAACTCAAGTGGGATTTTAATATATTGCATATGTTAAACTTGCTACGAAGCTATTAAATTTGGTAACAATAACAAGTATGCCACTTTTAGAGAAACATAGCTAAGTACTTCACAATGATATGTACTATTAAATTTTATTTTTAACTAAGGTGCTATGAGTTTGTCATAAAATTTGTTTTGGTTTGTCATAAGTGTACTATTAGGTTTCATTTTTATAATATAAAAACAGAAAAAGGGTAAATAAAATTTGGGTATTAAGAATAACCATAGGGTATGATAAAAAGACATAAAAGTCCAAAAGTGAAACACACAAGTCACAAGGTGCTGGAGAAAGAATGTGATGTTTTTCTTTTCTTTTTTAATTGTTTCGGGTAAACGTTTTGTTTACCCCTCAGTTGTTTTGCTAGGTGGTTCTTAAAACTAAATTACTTTAACTTTGCCATTCTACATTTTAAAAACATCAGATTTAACGGACGTTAACTTTTTAAATGGTGAATAGCAGGGGCGGATTTAGAACTCTATTTAGTATGGGGCATTGTTATAACTAAAAATTAAATTATAGGGCCTTTAAATAAATTTTGCACTAGTTATTCAAGAAAAATAAAAATTTAGGGTGGGGCACATGCCACACCTAGTCCCTTCTTGCATCCGCCACTGGTGAATAGTGTTGATAACTAATATGTTATACTATATAGAAGCATACAAAATTATATGTTGTTCTTTACTATTTTCTATAAATTTTATTTAAATTTAAATCGTAGAGGGTTTGGAAGGTTTCGTTGCGTGTATCGGTGATTAACTGTAGATCTTCGGATTTTAGATGGTTCGCCATGGGTTTTGGTTTTTGAGAGATTGATTGAGCAATCATCTTTCTTTAGTGGCAGCGATTAGCATTCACCGGACTTGATTGAAGGTGTTTTTGGCTCAAAAAGGAAGCAGGAGCAGGTAACGCTTGTAGGGTATTAGATTTGAGTTTGGCGTTTTGCTAGGTCGTAGATTCATCAACGGAGATCCTGCTAATCGGAGGTTTGATTTTTCGGAAGACTTGTTGAAGGTTTGGTTTTTCGACGGATCAGCTCAGAGAGAGCAACCGAATACTCCGGTTAAGAAGCTCAAAGCCGTCGTCATCCCACAAATTAGTGAGCCTTGTGTTTGCCGGAGTCTTGATCGGCATCTGCAACCGGTAGCCGCGAGGATTTGATCCCAAAAAATATCTCTTGTTTAACCTAATTCCTCTTCATTCTGTATTTGTGGATCTGTAATTTGGCCTAAGCCTAATTCTACTAAATAGGTCCATTTAAATAAAACTAATTTAGAAAAATAAAAGTTTACTTTAATTAATAATAGTTTTATAAATAATAGAAAAACAAAAGTATTTTTAAAATTACAAAGTACGGTATTAAAATTTGTAATTTCGGTTTATTCGGTTTTGTATAAGACTTTGTAAATTCTTTTGTAGTATATAAAATCTTCTAACGAAAAAAAAAACTGTAATCAGCAGATATGTAAAGGACAAAAAATGAAATTATGTTAACTAAGTATGTGTGGGTGGGTGGTCAATACACTTGACAGTCTAAAGCATATTATGGGTCGTCATTTTTTTTTTCGTCATTACGACTTTGATTCTCATGAAACCTAACGTTTTAAATATAAATTACAGAGTGATCAAACTTTTAATCGAATATCGTCTTTAGATTATAATCGATAAAAATTAGAGAGGACTGTGCAATACAAGTCGGACAGATAGTTTGGTGAGTAGGACCGAGACGTCACACTAGTTCTCATTTGATTGTCAGTTTTTGCTTAAAATCGTATCATTTTTTTCAACGTTAAATCATTTCCTTGACATTTTGTTTTCATAGAATGTCAGCTACTTCAAAAGAAAATAAGAAAGGATTGAAAAGTTTTACCTAAATATGCTTTAATTAAATTCATATAATATGTTTTTTTATCATGAAATTGAGTTCGGCACAAGATTATTCCTTTACGACTTTTTATTTTTATAGAGTGCTCTAAGTTAAATCTATAAAACTTGGTTTGAATTGTGAAAGAGAACTCCCTAAAGCAGCTTCGATGTACTTCACTTTCAAGATCATCACTTTTAATTTTCTTAAATGCTCTAACGTACATTAACAATAAGAGTAGCAATCATGAATACATACATATTTATTGCATTTTATGAACCTAAAAGATTTTATGTATATACTCTTCAAATAACTTTGCAATTGAATTGAGTAAGGTGATTTATTTTTGTAACTAAAACAAATCACAAGGAATTCATACTAATCTATGATAAATAGCCTTGATTAGTAAATATTAGCATTACAATCTTTCTTTGAATTGTTTAACCAAGAAAAATATTTGATATTTCTCACCTACCACAACCACAACCACAAGACAAATAAATTGACAATAATGTGATCTTCTTATAAAATGATAAAACAATTGGATTCTGTTCAAACGAGACACGTGTAACGTGGTGATAGGGTAGAATTTCGTGTTACAAAAGAGAAGCATCTCACCTACTCCTTAGAAAGATGTTCATTGTGAACACGTCATCTCCAACACTTCTCACTGCCTTAATCTAACAAAGACAAACTGTTATAGGACCACTAGTCTCTCAGGTACAACTCTTTAATATTAGTTTCGACTAATAAGTACATATGGAGTTTTTGCAAAAAATAAAAGTCGTACATTTGCTTATTTATGTTCGTTGAAATTGATAAGTTTATTCATCGAAGAAATTGGTGTTTTATATAAAACTTTATTCTATAAATTAAAGTACAACATGTATTTAATATTTAAAATTTACATATGCTTTTTTTGTCCGTTGAAATGGATACGTTTAATTACGGAAGTGTTTTATATAAAAGACGTTATAAAGTCCAATATTTAATTCAATAGAGCATCGTGCTATGACAATCCTCTAATGGGACTATACGAGAGAGAGTTTACGAGTAATCTGTCAAATACACCAGTTTCCAGTTTCAGAGTAATTTGTCAATGCTTGGAAATGACTTTTGTATAGGAAATTTTACAATTAACGAAAATATAAACATCTAATAAGGTTTATGAAGATCAAAAGTACTACATAAAAAGGATAGTTGAAAAACAAAATACTATTTTTTTGACGAAGTTATCCAAAAGATCATGATCTACTTAAATTATGCAGTCAAGTTATTATCCAGTGTACTTATATAATCGAAGTAATGACCCTTGTATAGTAGTTTACTTTGATGATTAATTTTCTTAATCATAGTAAAATTAAGATATGACAGGTTTTGAAGTCTAGCTTTGATCTCAAAAAAGTTTTTAATAGCAATTTGAAAGAAAAAAACGGTATCTCAATTTTCAAAGTCTTATTGAGAATTTTTTTTAAAAAGTCCTACCTACTACCGTGTTATTCGTCATGATCACAGAACGTGCCTTATATTATCCATAAAAGAATAATTAAAATAGTGTTTATGGATGTAAACATGTTACCTTTGACACCTAAATGAATCATAACTTAAAATAAATAGAAAAATATAGAAATGAGTTGTATCCTTTTGGTGGTTGCTCGACATGAAATTTCACAAATAAATAATCTGCCACATTTTGTTTTCATGCATATGATAAATATATGAACAAACACGTACACATATATATCTGATTTTTTTATTTTTTATTTTTTAACTAGAGGATGATATCTGAATATTTACGAACTAGAGTAAATATCAGACTTTTCACCTAAATACCAAGCCCTTCATATATATCAGTAGACACAACATTATAACTATCATGAAGGCAAAGCTAAGCCCTTTTCCGAATCAGCAACTTATGTCTTTGGTGTATTTTTTAGGTTGAGAGGTGTTTTGAAATAATTCTTTTGTTTTGAGAATATTTTTTGAAGTTTTTCCTTATTATCATAACCAACCAAATTCTTAATATTCTACGAAGTTTTGGGCCTAAGTTGGGCTCATTTAGTGGAAAGCTTGTCTTCAACAAACAACAGTCAATGGATGTATTCAATTAAAGTCTATTTATGAGTCATATTGATAATGAGAGTAGATAGACCTTCAATAAATTTCGTTCATATCAACAATGATACAAATTGGTAATAACTACCGCCAACTAAGAGGGATGAGAAATGATACAATACTAAAGATGGTTTTGAAAAATATCCTTAAGATATTTAGTCAAGTCTCACAAGTTGTTGTAAAGTTTTTTTGTTTTCTTTTCAAAATGAGCTGTAAAGAAAGAGCTTATTAAATTGTTGTAATTTGTGAAGGTAAACCATATTTAAATATTTATGTTAATTGTAATAAATTTAGAGATTTTTGCTGATTAAAATCTGGTTATTATACTAACGACAATTGATTCTCGTTAGTATAATTAATCAGCTGAACATTATTATTTCTTTTCACAATTAATCAGTTTTTTCGTTAGTATAATAACGAAAAATTATTGAAGATGGCATTTTAATATTTTGACTATCAAGTTTTTGTTCCTCCTGCGTTTCTTTTAGGGTTTGGGAAAAGGTTTGCCAATGGTGGAAGAAAACGTCAGCTCGAAGGAACAACAACAAGTCAGAGTCAGACCACTGCTCCATAGAAGCATCTTGAAACCAAGAATATAGATAAAATCATATAAATTTAGATTCGTTTTTAGTAGAATGAGAATAATCCAAAACGCAGATGATTCCAAGATTAGTTTATAGAATTGGAATAAGCTGTCTGATTAATCTTTATACAAAAGGTACAATTTTTTTTACAAGTAATGAATAAAACTGGAAAATAATATAACTCTTTATCATAATCATCAAAATGGAAGAATAGTTTCAAAACAATGAACACCGTCAAGCTCTGGAGCTATCCTCATCGGTTGGATCTTCTTCTTCTTATTCTTTTCGTCGTCCGATGAAACCGGAGTTTTTCCAGCGTTCTTTTGCTGCTCCGTCCCCGGCGACTGATTCTTGGTGCCTGAGAATATCATCTTGAAGCCGTTGGATTCAGCGTAAAGAGCTTCAAAGGGGCTAAAAATAGACATCATCCTCGAATTCTATTTGTTGTTTTGATCGAATTTCTTCTAGCCTTTGAGATTTTGTAACTTTTTTTTGTTTCTTGACGAGAACAAGAACGGACTTGTAAACTATTTATAAATCAGTAACAAGAGAAGCAAAGCTAGAAGAGTCTAGAAAGAGTAAGAAAAGTTTGAGAAGTTTTGAGTTGATCACGATTCGTTGAAACTAGTATGGTCGGTGAACGAACTGAGTCCACGTGGAAATTGTCTGAATGTGATTGATTGTATCGGATAATGCTTTTTTTAACTGTGAATTATATTCAATAATGCTCATTATTTTATTTTTTTCTTTAATTACATAATTTTGTTACAAACAAACAAAAATACGAGTACGATACATCATCAATAAGCAAATCGAAAAAACAAACTCTAATTCAAATTCTTATAAAATCCATTATTAAACAGCATAGTTTTAAAACAAAGGTTTACATATGAGATAATGTTTACATATAAAATCATCTTTAAAGGGACATTTTATGGTCTTTTAGAGCTTCTTGAGCAACTCAATAATGTTAACACCAAAAGCGTCGCAGACAACTTTGATGCCCTTGAAGCCTGATGCTTTGGCTAATGCCTCAAACTCTTTCTCGGTTCGTTCTTTGCCTCCATAATGAGCCAACATAATGCAATCGACATGGACTACTTGTTTGGTTGAGAGGCTTGAGTCTGGTGTCTCTGGAAGTATACACTCTGCTAATATCACTTTTCCATCCTCTGAAAGCGCCTCGTAGCAGTTCTTCAAGAATTTCACGCAATGTTCGTCGCTCCAGTCATGACATATCCACTGTTACAACAATGAGAAATCGACAAAAAAGAGTCAAAGAGTTTTCGGTTTTAAGTAATTAGTAGAAAACCTAGTTAATTACTATTTACTAACCTTCATGAATATGGCATCACCTTTAGGGACACTTACGAACATATCTCCACCAACATGCTCAATACCTGCATTGATTTAAGCAATAAGATGAAAATCTTCCAAGTAAATCAGATTTTGCAAAATGTTAGGAAAATGTTAATATACCGGGATGAGAAGGAGCATCTTCGATGACATGTGGGAGATCAAAGTTGATGCCTTTCAGGTTAGGGTACTTGGAGACAATCATTTTGAGTGTAGCACCAATGCCACCACCAACATCAACCAAAGAAGTCAAGCCCTCGAAACCCTTGTAGGTCTCAAGAATCTTCTTCATGGTGATTGTGGAATGGTTAGACATTCCATTGTTAAAGACCTTGTTGAATCTAGGGTCAGTTCCGTGGTACTCAAACGCGCTCATTCCATAAGCCTTGTGGAATGGAATCCCACCATCAAGAATTGCATCCTTCAAATGGTACCTGAAACATGCATGTCTCTTTGGCATGAGTCTAAGAAAACACACATACACTCTTTAAGCTTAATCTTATTACCTAACCATAATTTTTTTTTAGTTTCTCTTCAAATTCTAAACCAGATCAACTTTTGGTTATCACTAACTATAATAATCTGTTTTGAAAGTGATCACAAGATTGAACTCTACTTTGTGATTAAACTAGATCCACGTCAAGTTGATTGTTTAGTTTGAGAAAGAACCGCCGGTTCGCAAAGAGAACCAGCCGGTTCGATTGAATAAAACCAAAACCAGATTATAAGTTTTCTATTTTTATTTTCTTGTTGCTCATCAGAAGACCAGTTCTCTTCCTAATCATGTTGCTATTCTATTTCCTTATTTTGTTACTCAATACTAGGAAGAACGATTACAGCTTCTCTATTTAAAGCCATGAACTAGACAAAAAAAAAAGAAGGAAAAATATGTATTTTCTGCAATAAAAAGAAGTTTTTTCTTGTAGCTCTTACAATGTTCAAGAAAGCGCTAGGCGCTAAGCGGGCGGTGACCTAGTGCCTAGCGCCTAAAACGCCTAATCGGAGCCTAGGCGATTTTTAGGCGGTTTAGACGTTTATAACATAAAACATTATATATATGATATTATATATATAAGTTATATAAAATATCTATATAAAACTAAAAACTATGAAATTATAAACAAAAACTAGATAAAACATTTATTTATATTTATATTAAACAATATATGAATATTTATAACTATATATATATATATAAATAAAACTTAATTAAATGTGAAAATACATTAAATAAGATCTATGTAATTTTAGGCGGTCAAGGCGGTTATCTAGGCGTCGCATGAGAGCCTAGCGCCTAGTCGGGGCCTAGGCGACCGCCTAGACCACTTTTTAGAACACTGAGCTCTTATGATTGGAACAACCTAACATAAATGTTTTTGAACCTTCTCGTAATCTACTATACATTTTTGGAGCAGTTTTAAGGGATCCTAATCGGGTCGGATTTTGTTTCAATTTTGACCTGGAAATCTTCAATCGGATCTTTCCTTAAATGTTGGCAAATTTTAAAAACGAAATTATTTTATAAAATCTAAAATATATATATATATTTTCTCAACTAATTACTATATCTAAACTCTTTATTTATGGTATATTCTTTACGATTTTTATAAATAAGGAAATCAAATATGATGATTTAATGCTAATATAACAAATTTGAGTTAATTTCCTTAAACATCTCTACCTAATTTAAACTTAAATATATGATTCTCATTTCACTTTTATTTGATCTTATATTATATTATTTTGAATTATTATAAAATATATATAGTTAATAAATTTTAGTTTTTTTTTCTGCATATGTTATGATTCAAATTTTTTAAAATGGACATATATTACTCAATCGATAAAAAAAAAATATGTGTGTAATCTATATTAACATTTTTGAAGAACAAATTGCGCATTTAATCATGTCGTTTTTTTATTATTATTCTGACCCGAAATTGAGTCATTCAGATTTTTCCTTAATTTATACAATTATCTAAAACGTGACAGTATACCACGGGTGAAATTCTAAAATTAAGAAATCAAAATACAATTATATAGTATTTTAAGATATAATTATAAATTATTTTTACGGCTTGGTCAAAAAACACACACTATTTAAAATATATATATTATGAAAACCATTTGACAGCAAACTTTTAAATTGACTCGAATTATATGTCTTTTAAATAAAAGTGTTATTAAAAAAATAACAAAATAATGTATAATTTCACAGGACGGGATTATATGGTAGGACGGGTTTGGGTCGATATTAATACGAGAATAATAGACCATGGGTGAAATCCTAGAATTAACAAATCAAAATACAATGATACAATCTTAAACACTAAACAAAACAAATACAATTTAAAATTATTATTTTTTAGTTACAACACAAGTGACCCGCGGTGAACAACAACAAATATTATACCCAACAAATTCATCAATTTATAAAAAGATTAAAAAAAATTACACCGCGGGTTATATCTTAATTATTTATATAATTTTAGCAAAGTAACAAACAAAAAATTCATTTAAGCTGCTCGTTATAACCACTAAATAAAAAAAAGTATATAATATAGTTTTTTAGGGAGAGAGCAGGTTTTTAGACTTTAGACTTTAGAATTTAGACTATACGTGTCTTTTTATCTGTATTTGTCTGATTGTCTTTGACACTTTGTGCCTCTCTCTCTCACCTTTACCTTTGCATAATTGTATTTTAATCACATCAACCAGTGGTTTACCATAGAGATCTATTAAAAGTCAGAACTCATATCAAGAAAACTCACCAGCTTTCCATGAGAACCTTGTCTTGGCTCGTAAGACAAAGACCAGCAATGGAAACACCATCTTCGTTCTTGGTCAAATACTTGCAAACCGGACCAAGCCCGTATATCCGTTCAACGCCGTCACCGGAAAGTTTACGGTTGGAGCAGGTGAGAACGGAGTGAGACGTAAGAAGACGGAGGATACGGTCGAGCATGACCGGAGCTTCAGGGTTTTTGGTCGGAAGATGAGAAGCGATCTCGGTCGGAGACATGGGAGAACCGTTCTTGGCCATGATCTCAAGAAGGTCGAGCTCTAAAGCAGATTTTAAAGCCATCGGAAGAACGGAGGCACTGGCTAGTTGCATGGCGAAGAGGGCAGCTTCGTCGTCGGTGACTTGCACCGGAGTTAATTGTGTCTCCGCCGTTGAACCCATTTTAGTGAGGTTTCTTGAGACTTTTTTTTAGATTGCTCTGTTTTTTTGGGTTACTCTGTTTTGAGGATTGTGTGATGGGTGAGAGAACTGTGGAGGTTGAGAGGTTTATTTATATGAAAATATATTACAGAAGGTATAAGACCATTGGCATATTTTAACGCAAATTTCTGATCAATTGAAAATCGGGACACATCAATTTTTTTTGTATTTTATCATATTAATAACCCAGAAGAAGAGGAAAAGAACCCAGAAGAGGAAAATATAGGGTGTGACCGGTGTGAGAGAAGAGGAAAAGAACCCAGAAGAATTCTTCTTCCTACTAAAATGTAGAAGAAAAGTTTCATTTGATAACAAAAAAACTTTTCTTCCAATGTGGTAGGACCAGATGATATATTTTTCTTCTGTGTAGCACACCACTCACAGCCATAATGAAAATGTTACGAAAGTCACAAAAACAAACGTCAACAATATCAAGCGTCAACAATATACGCTACACGTGAAAAATATTACGACTGTTATAGGACGACAAGTCTCTCAGGTACAACTCTTTACTAGTCTCGACTCTCGACTAATAAGTACATATGGATTTTTTGCATAAAATAAAAGTAGTACATTTGCTTATTTATGTCCGTTGAAATTGATAAGTTTATTCATCGAAGAAATTGGTGTTTTATATAAAAATTTAATCTATAAATTAAAGTACAATGTTTATTTAATATTTAAAATTTACATATGCTTTTTTTGTCCGTTGAAATGGATACGTTTAATTACGGAAGTGTTTTATATAAAAGACGTTATAAAATAAAGTCCAATATTTAATTCAATAAAGAGCATCGTGCTATGACAATCATCTAATGGGACTATACGAGAGATAGTTTAAGAGTAATCTGTCATATACACCAGTTTCCAGTTTCAGAGTAATCTGTCAATGCTTGGAAATGACTTTTGTGTAGGAAATTTTATAATTAATGAAAACATAAACATCTAATAAGGTTTATGAAGATCAAAAGTACTACATAAAAAGGATAGTTGAAAAACAAAATACTAGTTTTTGACGAAGTTATCCAAAAGATCATGATCTACTTAAATTATCCAGTCAAGTTATTATCCAGTGTACTTATATCATCGAAGTAATGACCCTTGCATAGTAGTTTACTTTGATGATTAATTTTCTTAATCATAGTAAAATTAAAATATGACAGGTTTTGAAGTATAGCTTTAATCTGAAAAAAAGTCTATAATAGCAATTTGAAAGAAAAAAACGGTATCTCAATTTTCAAAGTCTTATTGAGATTTTATTTTAAATCCTACCTACTACCCAGGGGGCGTTTGGAGTGGGCAAGAGGAGCAAATATACAGGGCCCAATTTTTTGGGTAAATTTAAGGGCCCAATTTTTTTTTTTAGTATGAAAAAGGGTAATTTTTAAAACTTTAAGATATTTTTATCATGAAAAAGGCCCAAATATTTTATTTAGTATGAAAAACACTAATTTTTAAGATTTTTTTAACATGAAAAGGCCCAATTTTTTTTTTTTTTGTATGAAAAAGGGCAATTTTTAAGATTTGTACAGAGACTCCAAATTAATTGAGCCGGTACCGTGTTATACGTCATGATCACATAACGTGCCTTATATCTTATTATATAAAGTATCGTTTTCAAAGTTAATAACTCACGAGATCGTGACACGTGTCAAATATTTCGATCTCAGATTTCGCCATGTGTCAAATAAATTTTCCTTTTTAATAAAAAAGTAAAAAGATAATTATAAGAAAATTATAAATGTAAATTATAAATTATAAAGTAACTAACATTTGACTCAAAAATAATTAAGGAAATAGCCATGAGTTAAAAAAGTATGGTTTTCAAAGTTAGTAACTCACGAGATCGTGACATGTGTCAAATATTTCGATCTCAGATTTTGCCATGTGTCAAATAAATTTTTCTTTTTAATAAAAAAGTAAAAAGATAATTATAAGAAAATTATAATAAATTATAAAGTAACTAACATTTGACTCAAAAATAATTAAGGAAATAGCCATGAGTTAAAAAAATATGGTTTTCAAAGTTAGTAACTCACGAGATCGTGACACGTGTCAAATATTTCGATCTCAGATTTTGCCATGTGTCAAATAAATTTTCCTTTTTAATAAAAAAGTAAAAAGATAATTATAAGAAAATTATAAATGTAAATTATAAATTATAAAGTAAAAAACATTTGACTCAAAAATAATTAAGAAAATAGCCATGAGTTAAAAAAGTATGGTTTTCAAAGTTAGTAACTCACGAAATCGTGACATGTGTCAAATATTTCGATCACAGATTTTACCATGTGTCAAATAAATTTTCCTTTTTAATAAAAAAATAAAAAGATAATTATAAATGTAAATTATAAATTTTTAAGTAACTAACATTTGACTCAAAAATAATTAAGAAAATAGCCATGAGTTAAAAAGTTCTGGAAACTAACGTTTTCAGATATGTGAAAATTCAAAATGGCTATCAAGCAAAAGACAAAAATACAACTTCGTATTCTAATTTGGTGAAAAAACATGAAATAAATACTAATAATACGAAAAAATCTGAGGAAAAAATTCAATATTAGAATTCTGACGACGAAATAGAGGTATCCAACAATGTCATTTAGTAAAATAGCATGTCATACTGAAAGAAATAGGAGTAGCATGTGATTTTTATGGAGGTGATGATGGTGGTGGTTGATGGTTCCGGAGGTGGTGATTGGGTGATTTTAAAAAATAATATGATCATGTAAAAATTACATGCATTTATCATTTGTTGTAAATATATTATGTCAATTATAAAAACAAACACTGTGAATAGCAATGATTTTCTAAAAATTGTATGTGATATTCAGACCCAAAGAATATATGACAATGGAGGCAAATTAAGAATTATGAACGGCGATGGGCATAAACTAGAGTTGTTGTCAGAAAGGCTTGCCCTGATTTCGGAGAAGATATAGAAAGTGGAGTAATAAGAGAAGTTGGAGAAAGAGGAGAAGAAGCGATAACAGTGGTGTTGGTGTTGATGACGGTGGTTCAAGTTTGGTGGTGGTGGTTGCGATAAATGTTGATGAAGGTGGAGGTTAAAGTTAAAAAACTGGTACACCAAAACAAAAGACTCTTGAGTCAAAACAAAAATTCAGGTTAATCGAATCATTTATTTTATCGAAATTAGCGAGATTCAGTATTGATGGTGGTGGTGATTGTGATAGTAGTGAGATTCATTTGTGGTGGTGAGTCAGAGTAGTGAGCCTTGGTGGTGATATCCGAAGAAGGAAAGAAATAGAGATAGGGGAAAAAGAGGGCGAGAAGGAGAAAGAAAGAGGAGTTCAAACAAAAATAAGGAAAATCTAATGAGAGAAATAGAGAGATTTGAGAATTTCTCGCCGGCGAGCGGAAGGAATAAAAAAGAAAACGAAGAAATGGGTAATATGAGCCAAAAATTGACTATGTCACGTAAGTACGTAACTATATAAATTCAACTTTTCTTATTGTCACCGTTTTTTTCAATCTTGCCCATATTGAAATTATAAAGTGTAATACACTTTTCCGATAGATGTAAATAAATTATTAAAATTTAGTAATATAATGTATAAATATTTATGACTTTATAACTTATAATAAGCAAAAAATTATATAATTTTATAAATAGGCCAATATTTATATTAGATGATTTAATAATTAATATAACATAACTACAAATAGTGTTTTATATTGTGCAATATGCATTATAAATCTATATTGAAAATATAATTAAAATGGTGCATTATTTAAAATATATATGTTTATATAATTTTAGTTATCCTTATAAAAATAAAATTAAAAGTTAAGAATGATAATTTTGACAGGCAACCCGTGCAACGCACGGGTCCTTATCTAGTTATCCATAAAAGAATAAGTAAAATAGTGTTTATGGATGTAACATGTTACCTTTGACACCCAAATGAATTATAACGTAAAAATAAATAGAAATGAGTTGTATCCTTCTGGTGGTTGCTCGACATGAAATTCACAAATAAATAATCTGCTACATTTTGTTTTCATGCATATGATAAATATATGAACACACATATACATATATATCTGATTTTTTTTTCTTTTTTCTCTTTTTATAACTAGAGAGGATGATCTGAATATTTACGAACAAGCGTAAATATCAGACTTCACACCTAAATACCAAGCCCTCCATATATATCAGTAGACACAACATTATAACTATCATGAAGGCAAAGCTAAGCCAAACCCTTTTCCGAATCAGCAGCTTATGTCTTTGGTGTATTTTTTAGATTGAGAGGTGTTTTGAAATAATTCTTTTGTTTTGAGAATATTTTTGAAGTTTTTCCTTGTTATCATAACCAACCAAATCCTTAATATTCTACCAAGTTTTGGGCCATTAAGTTGGGCTCATATTACTTAAGCATTAGGCCTTACTCTAATTGCAATTATCCCTTCTCTCACTCGATTTTTACAAGTCTAGAAGTCAGAAACTACTCTCTTTTTTTTTTTTTTTTTTTTTTTGGTCAGAAACTACTCTTTATGACTAAAATTCTAAACCATAAAGACCTTGCTCTAGTTGCAACGTTTGGTCTTCCACTCTTTCCTTCCGATCTCTACGAGTTGGGAAAGAAAATGGAGACGAAGGCGAGAACAACGACACCATCATTGAAAAAAGAAGGGAGTCCACCACTCATAGGTATTTTCTGTGTGAAAACCAGACAAGACATGAAGAGAATTGAGGAAACAGAGGACTGCTTCATTCTCGATTTCAATCCTTTTGATTCGTTTGACGTCAAAAGGCTCTCATATTCCCTTGATAAAGATTTGGAAATCATCCATGAGACAGGCCAGGTTTGAGTTTTAATATTATGGATTTATGGGTATAATTAATTAGGGTTTATATATGATTATAATCTTGTAAATGTGATGAAATATATTGAGCAGGTTGCTTGTAGAGATTACCCACATCCGAGACATCTTTGCTTGAACTTTCCCTTTGGATCAACTTCTAACGCAACTCACTGTGATCTGGTAATTATTAATCTTTTGTTTAAAGGGCTTAAGTAAAAAGTGAAGTATGAAATGGACTTAACTTTTTGTTTAATGTTTTCCTAAATATCTCCTATGAAACTGTCTTTTTCTCGCTTAGATATGGAAATTGTTTTAACAGTAGAGATCAACAATATTATGCAGTGTTATTGTTACGTGTGCGATAAGCCTGCTCCTTGTGCACTGTGGATGTCTTCGCATTGCAATGCTTCAGAAGACTCTATGGTGAGGAAGTTACCAACCCATGAGAGTGAGAGCTATTATGACTCCGATTAAGATATGCTTTGGAAGAGTACTATGTAATGACAATGCCTAACTAATTATGAGATTGGTAATGTTTGAAATGCATTTGCTAGCCGAATTGTTGCTCGCTGAAAGATTCCAGTATCGACCTCGCGGATAGACGGGTTATATTTACCGTGAACATTAATCGTAGTTCAGACCTCCTAACACAAAACAAAGCAATTTTACAGAAAAGAACACCAACTTCTTTGACAAGCAAATAATAATATTTCTCCTAGTCCCAACTTGCAAGCATCAATATATCAGGCTTATTGATTCATTATATGTTAAAGTACTATAATTTTTTTTATAAAAACAATAGTGCAGAATTAGATATAGAACTGAATTGATTTTATTGATTCACAATCACAAATATATACATACGAGTCTCACTTTATCCTTATCCTAAAGGGTATTGCATTTGTCTCCAATATATAGAAATTGTGGAAGATTTATTTGGATTCATTTTATATTGTGAGTAATGAAATCACTCAATAATAAGCCTTTTTAATTGCTCCATCTTAAGGAAGAGTAACGCTTTGGTCTCTCACTCTTCCGTTTCGATCTCTGCGACTTGTGAGCGAAAAAAAATGGAGAAAAAGGAAGAAGATGACACACCACTCAGAGGTATATTCTGCCTGAAAAGAAGACAAGACATGAAAAGATTCGAAGAAACAGAGGATTGCTTTATCCTTGATTTCGATCCTTTTGATTCGTTCGACGTTAAAAAACTCACCTTTACCGATGATCATCATGAAGGTGACAAAGATTTAGCCATAATCCATGAAACAGGCCAGGTTTGAGCTTTGAAATTTAAGGTTTTTAAATTAGGGTTTCTTTCAATATTTGATATTTTTTTGATGGAATTTCATATGATTTGATAGGTGGCTTGTAGAGATTATCCACATCCAAGACATTTATGTTTGAACTTTCCATTTGGATCAACTCCTAATCCAAGCCATTGTGATTTGGTAATTTTAACACTTCTTCTTTGTGGATTTGATGTATGAAATGGATTAACTTCGTGGTTGATATGTTTGTCTTGTTATGCAGTGTTACTGTTACGTGTGCGATAAGCCTGCTCCTTGTGCAGAGTGGACTATATCGACTTCGCATTGCAATGCTTATGACTCTACTTCGTGGAATTTGTGTAGGACAAAGTGAAATCTGGTTACATCTAAGGATTAGAGCTCTTCCTTAATTATGACTTCATCAGTTAGGTAGACTAATAGATTAGGTTTAGGTTCTGGAGAAGTAATTTGACGTAATGGCATTTCCTTAGTATGAGATTGTTTATTATGCCTTGAAGTTGTATTTGCAGATTTCTTGACAAGTTATTGAGAATTTTGCTTCCAAGTTGCTACCTTAAATGTCTTAGGCTTTTCGCTATCGATAGTGTTTCAAAGGAATGAGATGGCTTAAGAAGTTGCATAATGTGTTTGTTTCTTCACTTCTCATCGGAAGATTACTCTTTTACTGTTCTTTGTTATCTGCTTAAAGACAAAGTTAACGGAGATAGCAAGATTATCTGCATTGCTCTTTCCTCTTAATCCCTAAGCGATTCAAAAAAACAGAGAGGCTTGGAATAATAATGTTCTAATGGGCCTGTAGTTTTGGGACTTGTATTTTTTGTAGAACGTTGACTATTGACTTTATAGATACTTTCTACTAATGCTGATGATGTTCACAATTCTAATAGCTATACCGATGATTTGGTGTAAATCTTCTGTATTTGAAAAATCTCGGTATACATTTGACCCATCGAAGCACATAAGCTAGTAGTCCACATGGTTGAGGAATTCAACTATGTGTGGGATTGACTAATCTAGTCTCATAAGTACTATCTCCGACTAGTCAGCATCAAAGTGCAACCGCAACATTCTGCACATTAAACCAACTTTGAAAACTTGTTTTTATTGATCTTGAATAGTTCCATGTATGAAACAATCATACCATTAAAGGTTTAGCTGCCACAATTCAGATATCTTCAAACACATGGTTTTAGAAATAACTTAGAGCTATAGTTTACTTGTGTTTAGAATGAATTGTGAAATTTCAAGTTATTTCATATTCATATTTAGTGAATTATAGTGTTAATATAATACTAATGCCTCAAAATGATCTAAATTAACACCTTACACTCCTTCTAATAACTTTATGTTTTCGTTCTATCTATATGATATGGTAATGCACATTTAGTGGAAAACTTGTCTTCAACAAACAACTGTCAATGGATGTATCAATTAAAGTCTATTATGGGTCATATTGATAATGAGAGTAGATAGACCTTCAATAAATTTAGTTCATATCAACAATGATACAAATTGGTAATAACTATTACCAACTAAGAGGGATGAGATATGATGCAATCGAAATTGATGATACAATACTAAAGATGGTTTTGAAAAATATCCTTAAGATATTTAGTTAAATGGATTAAAAATATAAATTAGGTCAAGTCGTCTTCTCAAGTCTCACAAGTTGTTGTAAAGTTATTTTCTTTTCTTTTCAAAATGAGCTGTAAAGAAAGAGCTTATTAAATTGTGAAAAATACTTGGGTTCACCCCTAGGGGTGAATCTCTTATGTTCACCCCCTTTATTTCATCCAATCAAAATCTGCCACTTATTAATAATAAAAATATTTATTTAATTAGAAAATTTAATTTGCAACTAAAACGAAATTATGTATCGGTTTATGTTTATTAGAAAGGGTTAGGGTTTAGATTTTATGATTAAACGAGTTTAACTATCGTTTTGAGTTTATAAACGGATTTAGATTTTACAATTAAACGAGGTTAAGTGTCGGTTTGGGTTTAGAAAGTACGATTAGGGTTTAGATTTTTTACGATTAAACGAGTTTAAATGACGGTTTGGGTTTACAAAGGAGAATTAGGGTTTAGATTTTATGATTAAACGAGTTTAACTATCGGTTGGGTTTATAAATGGGTTTAGATTTTACAATTAAACGAGGTTAAGTGTCGGTTTGGGTTTAGAAAGTACGATTAGGGTTTAGATTTTTTACGATTAAACGAATTTAAATGACGGTTTGGGTTTACAAAAGAAAATTAGGGTTTAGATTTTGTAATTAAACGAGATTATATATCGGTTTGGATTTATAAAAGAGTGGTTATGACTTAATCTTATTGTTTTATTTAGAAAATAATTGTTTTAATTTTTTTAATTAGATGACATGGCAAATTCTAATTGGATAATTAAGAGGGGGTGAATGAAAGTGGTTCACCCCTAGGGGTGAACCCAAGAATTGTTCATTGTGAAAAATACTTGGGTTCACCCCTAGGGGTGAATCTCTTATGTTCACCCCCTTTATTTCATCCAATCAAAATCTGCCACTTATTAATAATAAAAATATTTATTTAATTAGAAAATTTAATTTGCAACTAAAACGAAATTATGTATCGGTTTATGTTTATTAGAAAGGGTTAGGGTTTAGATTTTATGATTAAACGAGTTTAACTATCGTTTTGAGTTTATAAACGGATTTAGATTTTACAATTAAACGAGGTTAAGTGTCGGTTTGGGTTTAGAAAGTACGATTAGGGTTTAGATTTTTTACGATTAAACGAGTTTAAATGACGGTTTGGGTTTACAAAGGAGAATTAGGGTTTAGATTTTATGATTAAACGAGTTTAACTATCGGTTGGGTTTATAAATGGGTTTAGATTTTACAATTAAACGAGGTTAAGTGTCGGTTTGGGTTTAGAAAGTACGATTAGGGTTTAGATTTTTTACGATTAAACGAATTTAAATGACGGTTTGGGTTTACAAAAGAAAATTAGGGTTTAGATTTTGTAATTAAACGAGATTATATATCGGTTTGGATTTATAAAAGAGTGGTTATGACTTAATCTTATTGTTTTATTTAGAAAATAATTGTTTTAATTTTTTTAATTAGATGACATGGCAAATTCTAATTGGATAATTAAGAGGGGGTGAATGAAAGTGGTTCACCCCTAGGGGTGAACCCAAGAATTGTTCTTAAATTGTTGTAATTTGTGAAGGTAAACCATATTTAAATATTTATGTTAATTTTCATAAATTTAGAGAGTTTTGGTGACAATAGGAATGACCGAATGACCCACAAGCCGGCCGATACCATGACGCGACTAGCGAACGCAAAAATCTCGACTAAACCGTTGCTTTCACACTGTTCCTACCTAGTAGCCTTGCTGCATTATTATTATTTTGAATCTTTTGCTTTCTACTGTATTATTTTAAAATAATTGGAAAATGACTTTGAAAGTAACTTTTCTTTAATTATCAAATAAAGATATTGGACCATAACATCTAATATTCTGTAGTTTAACAGAAAAAGATAAAAGTCTACAAAATTTTGCGTTGTTTAAAACTGTATATTTTAAACGAAGTGTGGAAAATATTTGTAATTAAAAAATGTCAACTATTATTAATTAGGACATGAATTTAAAATCTTAGCACTTAAAAATGGTTTGTATTTTGTTTCTATTGTAGCGACTAAAATATATGATTTAATCATTTATGCTAATGTCATTGATGTATCACCACTCAAATTCAAATTTTCATATTGCATGTTATTGATAACAAAAACATTGCAACATTAGCAGTTGATGTTGTTATAAAAAAAAATGATCGTTTTAGATAGAAAATTTTGCATTATGAGAAGTTAAAAGGCACCAATCGATCAACCACTTTTTTTTTGTTGGAAGAACGATCCAACACTTTTTATCAACGCAAAACAATCGATCCAAAACTTCCACACAAATGTTTGCCAAAAAAAAAAAAAACTTTCACACAACTTGTTTTGTTTCGTTTGCGACATTTTGGCTTTTTAGAACACTGGTATTTATATATAACATTAATTGGAACTTTTCGAATCTTGATTTTAAAAGTTGACATATGGTAGTAAGACAGGAAGGTATTACTTGTCTAGCATCATGTAGACAACAAAAATACTTTAAATCCCACAAAACAACATACACCAACAACCTTATACGTCGTCGTTCAGCAAACGAGTCGGTGCACTTGTGCATAGTCTTGGATTTAATGGTATGCTTGTTAAAGAGATCTAAGATTTGAGTTATGTTATCAATTCTGTGTGAGCTTCCCTAAAATTATAAATGTTCATATACGATTTGGAACTTTGGATCTTCAAAATTTGAGATTAATAACGACAACTGATGAATGTTTGCCACTTCTATGCATGCATATTTGATTCGTTCACACCAATTAACCTCCTCAACAATTCTAAAATCAGGCTTTGTTTAAACTGGTTTGCTCAAACTTACATTAGCGTTAGATAATATAAAATACAATAACTTAACAAAAACAAATGAAAAACACCACACACAAGTAATGTCGGCCACTGAATCAAGCTAGTTTGGTTTCATTTTGATTCAGTAAACATATTCTCCATCAAATTCATTATTTTTTTGTAGCTTTGGAATTAGTGTAGATAGTAACACTTGGCTCTTAAGATTTATAAAGATGGCGTACGTTACAAACTCTCTATTAAATAAACTTGTTTGAACGTTCAAAGTCTTTTTTACCTATACATAATTCAATTTAATATTACTCACTAAATATCAACTAGGCTACTTCATTCATATATGTTCTAATAAGTCTAAAGAATTTACTGATCAATGACTTCAAATGTCAAATACTATCGAATACTAATGTAAAAACAAGTTGAAAATAACTCATTAGCGAAATCGAATTCGAGATTCCGATAATCCTCATTTGTGATTTGTGAAAGCTACTAAGTAAAGACAAATGCTCGCAAGATTTCATTGACCATAAACCAAAATATAGATCTAGTTATGATATTACAGATCAAAATCATAGCCTTTAACAATGTTAAAGAACTATAAAAATTAATTCAAATTACATGGAAACAAAAAAAGCTCGAGTAAACTTATTAGTTCTTCAAAACCACCAACCATCTCTCTAAATATAAATTATATACAGATTTTACAAAGCTCTATGCGATTCAAGAAAACGCGATTTAAGACGACGAGACACTCGGTAAAAATCTCAGTCGCTTCTCATCGATTAGATCATAGAAGAGAGGACGCAAATCTCAAGTCAAAAACTGAGGAAATAAGCCAAAAAAAGTTGACAAAATCAGAAATCAACAAGATGAGAAGAGAAGTCAGGAATCATCGACGTCGAAGAAGGTGAAGGAAGGAGAAAACCGCCGATCCGTACGGAAGTTCTATCGCCGGTACGCCGTGGAAGAATCCCGGCGGTGAGTTTGGCTAGAGCCGCCGTGTACTCTACTAGTAGCTCAGTAATAATCACCACTGAGATCATTATCGATTAGGTTCTTGAAATTTTCTTGACTCTTAAGAAAATTCTGATTTGTTTTTAAAGAAAGATCTAAGCGATGAAGATTTGAGTAGTGAGAATGTGAGAGACCTCTTTGTCATTATATATAGACGACCATTTTACACTTCAATACTATATAATTTTTCTTTACATTATTATATTTTTCTAATTTTGTCTTTTGTTTTTTTTTAATATCTCTTTTTTAAATCACCCGCTTCTCACGCACAGTGTACAGTAGATGTAAAACAAATCAGGTTGGAATAATTAATTCCAAAAATAATCATCATCAAAAGCTACATTTATAGCAATAAAGAAAAGGTCCTATAATTGATATACTTCATCATTGAACTTCAAATTTAGCGGAAAATATTTTGGTATTCTTTTTTTTAGTGAAATAACAAGACAGATGTATTATGTATAGAGAGGATGTTATAAATTGTACGTATTATATTAGCTGGATTTTCATCAGAATTTGTTGTTTTGCATTCACATATATATAATAATTTTATTAATTATTTGTTTAGGACTGTACATAGTACATGGCTACATGCATATCAATAATTCATTGTCTTTTCAACAAAAAATAAATAAAATAAATAGCATTCTCTTATCCATAATCATTATTAATCAACATGTATATATGTAACCGGGAATATGGAACTTTATTATCGAAACCAAAACTAAATCTCAAGGATATGTAAAACATTAGGTTTTTTTGTCATTTAAATTTATAATAATAACCAAAGTGAATAAAAGGATTCCATCATGGTCTAAAACTCAAGACAAATTCTCTACCATTTGATGATTTGAATGCATATAAAAATAAAAACTGATTTGAATTGCTACTAACTACTACAGTGTTTTAAAAAAATATTTATTCTGAAACAAAGGAGTATTATTAGTTACCAGGGTCTAAAAGGCATATTCAAAACAGTTAATTTGACAGCATCTATATGCCAAAACAGTTAATGTTCTATATGCCAAACTTATCCATAAATATTTGTTGGATTACCAACCAAAGGATTTAATTCAATGATCGATCGGTATATGATTAAAGTTAACGATGGACCAATATTTTTTTTGTAGTTGTATATGAACATCAAATATTATGTGTCGATTCTTGTTGGAGATAATATTGAATAGTAATTAATGGCTTATTTAATGGTGTGTATATAACTTGCCACGTTCACATGTTGCCCTAATGTTACATCATCAGATTCATCACATTTAATTAATAGGTGTTTTAATCAGCCGAAAATTGAGATGAGTTCTTAATTGTGAGTCTAATAATTTAGATTTTTATAAAAGAAAATATATTAACATTAAGAATCTAGTAGTTAAGTATTACCGTCCTTTACGAGTTATATAATCCATGGTCAAATTATTTAGCAATTAGTGGATGGTTAGAGATGTTAACTAGAACAATTTAAAAAACAGAGTAAGAGGAAGAACTTGACCGCAATGATAATCGTCCCTAATCAAATGTTAATTTATTTTGGTTTTGTCTTTTGCAGAAAATCAAAGAGTGGACTTACAAATTACAAAAATTGATACTACAAAAATTACAAAAATCAAATACACGAGGGAAGATTATCAATTGGATATCGAAGGTGTCCATATCTTCCTACCATATAAAATTGGATATGATTGCCCTTCCCTTTCCGCCTCCTAATTAGTACTAGCATTTTTCTATATAATTTTTTTTTTAATACAGTTTCTTTAATTTATGATTGGAGAAGGGAGAACCCAATTTCAAATACGCTTTTAAAGTGTAATACTAAAACTTTAACTAGATGTTTGTTTTTAATTAGAGTTTAGACTGCATTGCGATGAAAATTTGGGTTCGAGTTCATATTCGGACTCAAATTAAGATTGGTATGTATAAAAGTTTAAGTGGAAATGATTAACATAAGCTTTTGATAAATGTTGGGTAAAATAGCATTTGAAAAGTAATTATGTACGTTTTTTTTCTTTCTTTTTCTTTTCTTTTATTACATATATGGCCCATTGGCTCTCTTTTTTTAACCCTTTGTGAGTAGGTGAAATCAAATTGCAGCTCTTGAGATGTCAATACAAGGGATTGAATCACTAGCCTTTGAGGCCTTGAATATGTTAGGACATTTTCATAAATATGTGATGCTACTTGGTCGATGTAGTACTTTATTTAAAAGAAATATTTTCAAGTTATCAATTACTATATACTCAAACATTCAAAATCCAGTCTATTGACAAACTAGACGTTCACACCTTGGGAAAAAATAATTATTCTATGTAATATATATATTTTTTCAGAGCTTTGTGTGACCGAATATTATAAATGAAATAAATCTCTAAGTCAATTCCATATTCAACGTAAAAAAAAATCGAAAAGCGGCTAATCAAACATAACTTGCCTTCTATAATAGTAATAATTTAACAAAGCCTGGGTCCTTTTAGTGACTCATTTGAGAGTTACAGCGATTAAACGACTAATCCAACAAGGGCATTCATTGGCTAATTAATTTCTTATTAAAAAAACCTTAGATAACTAATTTAGAGAAATACCATTAATTCTACAATGACATATAACAAAAAAAGTAACCAATCGAGTTAATTAAAGCGATGGATCTGAGAGGATACGATGATATTGTGTGTCCGTACTAATATGAACTACTAAATTATAAAATTTCGTTAAATATTTTATTTAATATAGGCAAAATAGCTGACCAATTCAGGATACTTAAACTAATTACAGAAATTAATTCCTAACATAACTAAAATTAAAATATAGATAAAAATGAAAATTTGTCATTGTAAGGGCAACACTACATTAACTAGATATTAAAAACTGCAAAAAGGTTATATGATCAGATCCTTAACATTTACTCTCGATAATTTTTAAAACATTGTAGAATTTTATAAAATTATTAATATATTCAACAATTATAAATGTAAATTGACATGAATCATGATTGGATAAAGATACATTCAATAACGCCTTAATTAGTAGCTTCTCTTTCAGTATGTGTAAACTGCAAAGATACGTAACTTTTTTGGGTCCAAATATTAAATTACAAGAAGAAAATATCGGGAAATAGTAGTGTATTTATAATATTATGTTGGGGGTTTTCGATATTAACCAATAATGGAGAGTTTATAACTTTATATACGTGTCAACATGCATGTATGCATGTTCTATTGAGAAGATATGATGAAGATTTTTCTCAACCTCCCTCCATAATTAAAGAATGTGTGGACTTCCTTGATTTTGCCATTTAAAAGTTTTGATTCGAAAGATTTTTAGTGTTAAGAAATTGACAGATTCAACGAGAGTCACGTGATCCGAGAGATTATCGAACTACGTGATTGAAACTTGTTGTAGAAGGAATTGAAGGTCTTCTTCATGGCTTTACAAGTGAGAGAAGAGCTTATATTACGAGTGACAAATTAGGTTTTAGAATTAAAATTCTCTAAAAAGACAATATATTAGAACGTTGAACAAAAAAAAAAAAAAGCCAATAGAACTTTTGTTCAGAAATCGAGTATATAAAATAATGAGCATGCAAAATTAATAGGAATAGATTTAAAATTTAGATTTTAAAACCGACCTTTTTCTTTTTGCCATTGTTGTTGATATATATTTCCTAAGACGTCGATATTTTCTAGTTTACATGGTCTAATCAAATGTTTTCATGCTTGTTTAATATTTTCAGTTTCATATTTTAAATAACATTCAACGGAAAGTTTTAACACTTATCTCAATTTGGATTTCTTTTGGACCATAATCGACTTGTTTAGGTGAGTGTATTGATGAAACAACTTTATCCTTTTCTACCGAATCATTCACTATTTTATCATCTAGTTTTCTTTTTACCTAATAATGGTTCATCAATTGGTTATATAAGCCAATAATTTCCTAGTGAGAAATAGTAGTAATCATATACTATAGTATACTATAATATAGATGCAGAAGATGAAGTGCATGTTGTTGAGCTCGGTTGTCGTGTTACTTAGACTTAGCCATTTTAGGGACATATGTGTCATCACTTTTTGTCTTTTGGTTTAGATGAAAATTATCTAAACTAATCTATCGCTAATTGCCCTTTCTTTTTTTAGAGTCATGTGACACATTCATCTTTATCTTGTCTAGTTTTTGTTTTTTTAGGAAAAAGGCAAATTAAAGTTTATAAAAATACAAAAGAAAGCTTTTATTTTGCTTAGGTTTATAAAAATACTGAATGCAGCTTTTTGCTTTTTCTACTGACTAATATGCTCCCTATGTTTTGATAATTTATATGCTTTATCAAAATAGACAAATTGAAAATATAAAAATATTCACAAATGTGAATGTTTTGTAGTCATTATGATAGGTTCAAATGTCACTTCATTTGCTTATTATTATCATAAAAATTTACCTGCTTTTTTTTGTCCGTATCTCAAAACCAAAGTGCATCGTTTTGGATGACTCAGACACATACCATGTGAGACCACAATTGATTTCTTGAAGTTGTAATTTCATAAAGATAGCATTTACTTACGAAGGCAACTAACTAAGAGACTTAGATCTAAAGCTTTCTTTAGTACTTTCTCAATCTCCAGACTTAGTTTGATTCTGATGCTCTTGTAGATACATCTCAGCTAAGGCAGCAAACGATGCTGATCCAATGGGAAGAACATTCTCGTCGAGGAAGAAATAAGGCGAATGAACCGAATGCACAGAACCGATTTCTTTGTTTCTGATACCGATCCCTAGATAGTAACCGGGTATTTTTTGTTGATAGAAAGCAAAATCCTCACCCGCCATTACCTTTCCACCCGGTTTCACTTTCTCGGGTCCAAGCAAGAGTTTCAAAACTTTTTCAGCGTATTCGTGTAGGTTGTGATCGTTCACTGTTGCTGGATACATAGGGTGATCGTCTTCATGCATATCTATATCCACTTTGCATCTATGAACTTCAGCTTCTCCTTCAACCACCTGTCAGCAACAATCGGGTTAGCTCTGGCTTGAAAATCGAACTGAAGATTAGATTACATTTGAACATTCATGATTGTGTATCATGGAAGAGATCTTGTATATAGCAATGCCTTTGTCCTATGAAAGCTTTACTAGATCATAGTAACAAGAGATTCAGGAATCAAAATCAATAAAATCTTTTGAACAATAAATTACTTTAAGGTTGAAATTGATCATCAGGGAAAAGATGAGATTAAGATCCATAAGATATTCGAAACCAAATTTCGGTTTGTTCTCTGCATCGAATACTCAAAGGTTGTTTCGAAACCGCGTGTACATACCTCTTTCAACCGCTTTATCAACAAGTTCATGCCATCAGTTGTAAGACTCCTCAAAGTTCCCCCAAATTCTACATATGCCGGAATCACGTCAAACTCAGAACCGCCACTTTTCATAAATGTAACAGACAGCACCTAAAACCAAAACTATGAACTTTTAGCATCAGAAAGACTTAAGATTTGGTATTGCAAAATAGTAAGATCTATATGCATAAACAACCGTTAGTTTTATCGAATGGAAAAGTAGACAACATACATGGCTTAAGAGAGGATCTACTTCTCTGGAGACTATAAGTTGCAATGCTAAGATGGTAGATGATGCAGCCAACACCGGATCAACACAAGCATATGTCTCCGAAGAAGCCGGTAATATTCCACTTACTCTTACACTGAAAATACTTGTGGATGCCATAGCAGGACCCGAGATAGTTGCTAATTCTCCTGTAGGTAAGCCAGTATGAACATGCATCCCAAATATTGCTTCAGAATCACCCAAAGCACCTTCTTTTATCATGTGAAGAGCACCTGCACCACCTTCTTCTGCTGGTTGAAAAAGAAGCCTCACTGTTCCCTTTTGATTAAGCAAAAAGAGTAATCTTTCATTCACAACAAGTAGACTAAACTCTTTCTATAACCAAAGCAAACATAATTACAGCTACAACATTCTCTAAATCAGACCAAAACAAAGAAAGATTCATCCTTTTTGTGGCAAACAACAAACTAATTGTACATACAAGACAATACAAGATTCATCCTTTTGCGTTTGCTAAGCTAATCCCACAAATTTACTTCAACCAAACTTAAGAATAAAGAAGAGAAAGCTTACATTAAGCTTATGTTTACGTTTGCTAAGCAATTTAGCAGCACCAAGGAGCATAGTGGTGTGTGAATCATGTCCACAAGCATGCATTTTTCCATCGATTTTGCTCTTATGATCCCACTCAACTAGTTCCTGAAAATCACAGCAAATCAATCTATTGAAGAATTACGAAGAAATTAACAGACAATCAGAGAGTGAGAGAGAAATCGAGTTTACTTGCAAAGGAAGAGCATCCATATCAGCTCGGAGAGCAACAACCGGAGGATAACCGGATCCGATTTGAGCTACAATTCCGGTTTTCGCAACCGGGTAAGAGTAAGAAACCCCTAATTCATCAAGCTCGCGACGAATCAGAGCACTGGTTTTGTGTAACTCGAAAAGGAGTTCTGGGTTTTCATGGATTTGTCTTCTTACAGAGACTAACCAATCTTTATCACCCAAAGCTTCTGTTAGCAATTGATGCGAATACTCTTGATCTCCTCCATTGACGGAACTAGCGATAACAAGGAGAAGAAGTAGAAGAAGAGACGTAGAATATGGAATCGAGAAATTAGCCATGTCCATTTGGAAGTCAACGGAAGCTATGATCGGAAAATTGACCTGAAAGTCAGACACTTGGTGCAAAGTGAAGCACCAATCCTTGGAGAGAGAGAACAACGTTAAAGCTCGAAACTTGTTCCTTTTTCTTTGGTATTTTTTATAAATTTCCGAAATAATTTATTCCTCTTTTTTGGCGGCATTATTCTTCTTGTTTTTTTTTTAAAGATTAATATATAAGAAAATGCACTATGTTGATTTAATTTTCTATCTAACAATCTCTCTATGAAAGTCTCTAGAGTTAATTAAATTGCAAAAATTAAACCAAAAAAGAGCAAAATCAGAAATGAAAAAGCTGCTTCTTAAATCTCTACTACAACATTTTTTTACATGAAGCTATATATTTAGTTTACATGTTTTTGTACACAGTAAAAATTTATAGACCTCAGTCCCCTTTCTCTCTTCTTCCCCCCAACGCAGTAACCGCAAAGCGAGAGCATTCAGCCAATCCAATGGACACAGAGCTTAGGTTTACTTCTCTGTAAGGGGACACCAAAACTCAGAGGTCTCTTTAAATGGAAGAAGCTAAAGTTTGTTTGGTGAGTGTTTTTGTCATGAAACCAATTGAGAGCAAGGCATTCTTATGGGTGAGAATACAACGGTGAGTCTCGCGTGATCTGATAGAGAGTAATTTTCTGGCCACATTCCTTTTTCAACTTCGGGAGGAAACAAGACTGCGTTTTTGACGCTGAATCCAACGGTTTGTTCTTGGTTACCTTTTGCTTCTCCGTCCTCTGCATCTCTTTGTTCTGACCAGGTTTGGTTCCATATTCTTTGCTGCAATGGGTTACATAAGCAACTGAGCAACGTGTGCGTGGTTTCAAGAGCAAGAACAAGGGACGCTATTGGCATTACTTTCTAAGTCTAGATGTACTTCACGGGTGATTATGTTCAGCTATTGTAACTCAAACTACTACTAGAAACTACCTTATCATGAACAATTCCTTGTAATATAGGAGCCTAATGAAGAAACATTACCTGAAACTCTTTGTAATCTAGAAGACCGTTTCCATCAATGTCTGCTTGAATCCACAAATCTTTGATCTCTTTTGTCGTGAGTCCATTGCAATGACCTGTTAGATTGAGCTGTACAGAGAAAGAGAAAACTCTGTGAACATTAAGCTGAATAAGGAAGTCATAAGAATCTGATTAACTGCGTTACAGATTCTATATACCTGCCGAAGAGTCTCACAGAAGCCCATGAATGTAATGTGGTCACCATCATTGTCAGTTTTCAGAAAAGCAAAAGCATCTTCAGCTGTTAGTGAAGCTCTTCTTAGTAGATACTGCATATCAAAATGTTCTTATGTTACAGGGAGAAACCAGAAAACAAAACTGTTTCCAGAAATCATGGTTAAGGAAGAGACATTTTCCTTCGTTGTTATACTCTAATTAATGTTAAAACCAATTCCAAGATCAACAAGTAAATCACTTTTGGATAAAAAAACAGTGAAATTCACTAAGAAATGAAAGCTTGTGATAAGACACAATTGAGGAGAGTCTCACCCTGAACATGCCAAACACTGCCTCGCTCCAACTTGTTTTTAGCAGCTTTCTATACCGATTTGGATTTAAAAGCCATATGAAATCGACAGCACATATGTTACCCCGATGATTCCGGTGGCTTACCCACTGTTAAACCAAAGATAACAACAGTTTCATAATCCCGATCGCCAATTTATAACATCGAAAAAATCTACAGCATACCCAAAAGTATTCGCCATATGAAGAAAGACAGTGACCTTGTGAGCATCTGAATCTGTGTACCGATGAGCAGTGTCATAGGACGACACAAAACCCTGTGACCTGAGAAACTTGTAGACATGCCCTCGCTTACTTCCGTTCCAATCTCTGCCACAAAGACAAAAATAAAGACAAGCAGATAAATTTTGAGTACTGTTCATCATATCAAACCCATGAAAATGTAAAATCCAGAAAAGATAGTTACCCGCAAAGAATAATTGGCATGGGACTGAGATTAACTTCCTTCTGATAAGATTCTACATACTGAAGAATCTTATATACCTATCAAAACAAAATCTTGTTAAGAAAGCTACAAAATCATCCGCACAATGACAATGAAGTTGGTCTAAGAACTCTACCTGCTGTAATCTTACTATAGACAATGTTGAATCATGAGGAAACAACAAATGAGTATTCACAATCAAAACTTCTTGATGAGCATCATACTGAGAGTAAGGAGGAACTAATTCTACATGTAGCAACTGCGCAACTCGATCACCACAATCGTTAAAAAGCAAATCCCTCGAGTTCACAACTCTAAAATAGTCCTTATGAACAGCCGTAAGCAAACCTATTAACACAGAAATTCAGAATTTCAAATCCTTTTGAAACACACCAAAAAACCAAAGAAGAAGATTCACAAAAATTTACCATCACCACGATTATTAGTACGACCAAGCTTGTAACTTAAATAACCAGCGTCACCAAGTCTCTTCTCATATAAATTAACAAGCTCTTCATTGCCTACCCAAAACTCCTAAAACCATCAAAATCATCAAAAATCAGAACACAAAACACAATTCATCTTCATTGAGGAATTTCGTCGAACACCTGTAAACATATGATTGAAGATCTCTCATACAATAACCAATCAAGGATTCGATGATTCCTTCCAAGCCAATACGCTCGATTATCGCTTTCACGAAGACTTTGATCCTACATTTCCACACAAAATTCAAAAATCCTCAAAAACATCGAAATCAAGAGAGATTGATGAAAGAAGAACAAAAAAGTACCTTGTGAGAGAGACGTTTATAGATCGGAGCAAGGATATTGAAAGTAGTACAAGAGATACAAGGTTGCTGCTGATGCTGATCTCTAATGGAAGATGAGATTGCATAGCTTCCTATTTTTGATATCCTCCCCTTCATTATCTCTAAACCGCCGGCGAATAAAATTTATAAATCGGAAAATACAAAATCTCCGGCGGTGAAAATCAAAATAAGGAGAGAAACAAAAACAAAGAAGAAGAAGATGACGATTCTCTAAGAAACGTCGTGACTCGTGACCGTTCTTTCGAATTCTTTTTGAGTATCGATTAATTAAAAACCGAAACAAAAATTAAACCCAAAATTAGAAACTTTTTTAGCGATTAATTTGAGGCTTAGGCTATTTGAGGATTAGAGTTCATGAACATTTTATATATACGTGACTTGTGCATGTAGTGAATGTGTTTATGGTGGTGAAGCACTTTGTTATATAGATTTAGGAAAATGTATATTTTTATTTCCTGAATTTGTTCGTTAAATATTTATTTAATGATATTGAATATTGCTTTCGATTAACGCACGATTCGATGGGCGGGTCCATGTTTTATTCCTTTCGGCCATGAAATTGAGATACGATTTGTTACTATTAAATTAGTTTTATAGTAAAGTCTTTATTGTTATCTTTTTATGAAAAGAAAAAAACAATGCATGGACATAATTATGCGTTGTAGACGTTCTTGTCGAGATCTTTGTTTAAGTTGTGTCGGTTTATATAGTTGAAGTTTTTGATATGATAATTAAAAACAGTTTATTTGTTATAGGATTATAGAAGTTGCAACAGATACTAGTTTAGTGACGGATTAGGAGACAGTGACAGAGTCACTAAACTTTTCATTTGTTAGGCTATTTTTTCTTAAGTCGTGTTAAAACGAATTTGCGGTATTAACGGTTTTTTTTCTCTCTTTTTATAATTTTGTTTAATCGACTTACTAACCATAAACGTTGATTATTCATAATCTAATCATTTATGAATTATATGATGTACGTGTTTTACAAGTCTTTGGCTTAATGATCTGGTTACGTTTCAAGCACGTAATACTAAACACACTTTAATCGCCTGAGATATGAAATGATATTGCTCAGATATAAATGACTCAATTTCAGAATATATGCATGAAATAAAATATTACATTAGATATATATTAGCTAAAAGTATATATAAGTAATCATCTCTCTATTTCATTTTAATAAAAAAATTTTTTTATTTTATTTTAAGTGATGTTTTCAAGTTTGAAAAATAATAATATTCTTAGATGTCCTTTGATAAGACTAAATTTGATGTTAAAGAAAACGAGAGATAAGAATTGAATTTGTTGATTGTGAAATTTGGCCGAAAGCTTTCATAAAGCGACATGAAAATCAAAAGACACCTCTAGTTGTCTTTGTTCCTTCATAATCTCCACGAGTCGATTTTTCCTCCCCCTTTTTTTCCGAATAAAAATATTCTAATAAAAGAAAATAAACATATCTAACTTTAGATTTTGTGTCCTTTTAATTAAGCTCTTTGTTCCAAATTTTATATACCACGTGAATCTTATATCTCATTTCATACAAGTGATTTGATTGTTTATAAAGTATGCTATTACAAACAACTATGATATTTTCGAACGCTAGTTAAATAGAGCTACATTGAATCTTCTTGTTTCTAGCTATTGTTAGAGAATGGGATTAGAAGAGTTTAGCGTACAAAGACGAAAAAAATGGTTAGAGACTTAGAGTTACGTGTTTTTAAAGGTTTAAGAACAATATTATATATTCTCATTCTTCTGGCGGCTATTCTTATTTAGTTAATCTCATGATTATTTATAGAAAATTAATAAAGTAACTTTTTTCACTATATGATAGACTAGATTAGCGTAACCAGTTGAAATTGATTAACTAAACGATGAAAGTGCAATAACGTTTTCTATAATCGTGTCTTCAAAAAAAACTCAGTTATGTAAGTCCACTAATTCTTTGGGCCAGTAGAGAGAATATCATAGTTTCTGAATGCAAGGAGAAAAATTAGCAACACATCAAACTCAGTATTTGGGTTTATGTCTTTTAGTATTAGTGGGTATCAGTCTTTTATAGGTCACTCTTGTGGACCTTAAGAGTCTGATAAAATTAAGAAAGAACTTTGACACTAAAATAAGCATGGTGACAATTGACATATCAAAATCAAAAAATGGTAGCCTATCATCCAAAACAAATTTGTACTTTGGTTTGTGTAATGTTCCAATCAAATTGATCATGGTTTGGAAAACTTTATTGTCCACAAAACCATCATTCATAACGAATGGTTTACTTGTTCTAAGAAAACATTTGTATCTCATAAATAAATAAGATTGTACAGAAGCAACAATCCAAAACTAAATACTGAACAAACTCTGGTTCGATTCTAACGGAATTCGAGTATACCGAAACAAAATTTGATGAAGGAGAAAAAACCACACAACAAACAGAGACATACAAGAACAACAAAGTAATCGTCTAGAGATAAATACATAATCGAGGGATAATAAATTATGTACATCCGCAGAAGATGATGATGAAGAAGAAAGAGCTTCTTTTACCTCCGCTATAAGCGTATAACAAATCCACATTGCTCTCTGCATTTTAGGACGAAGAATCTATGGCTTCAACTTGTTGCCGAGCAAGGTACTTCTCTCTTCTCTCCTTCTGATAGATGACACAAACTTTGGTGAATAAATGGGAGAAAGAAGTTACAACAATGAACAAACCAAAGGTTTTAGATTTTATATAGGTATAATTATCTGTTACCCATTCGTCTATGACAAGACCCTCCCCGACCACTCGAGGCCCTGTCTCTGGGGGAGGCTTCTTTCTTGCTTCAACTGCAGCTTCAGCTTCATCCAATTGACGTTTCAGTTTCTCCAATGCCTGATTCATTACATCGTAATTCTCCTTATGAAATGATCAAACTATAGAATTTAGAGTGTATGTGGTCTTATCAGCATGAAGAGCTTACAGCACTTGGGCGGTCCGCATCAATAAAAATGACCCGAAGAACCTGCTCCACTGCTACTTGATCTTTTTGCTCATCAAACTGCACGATAAACACCCAAAAATGCATCATCGATAGACTTATGCCTAAGAGGCTAAGACTCTCTGAGACAGAGAGGGATTATCCTTTGAAAACCTATTTACCAGTTGCAATGTTTCAGCCTATAAGAGTCAAATTTGACTACAAATATATTCTAAGATTGAATAAAATTGGTTCCAACAAATAGAGTTTTATGTAAACTGATAAGAATTAGAAAGGAGCGACTGATAACATACCAACTCAGGCACATACTCTACTCCTGGTTTAACTTTCAGGCTCATAATCTTAAACTTAACCTTGCTCTTCTGGTTCAACTTCTGTTTTTCATTGTTCTCTGGATGTTCCACAAACTTGAAAACTGCACTTGAACATAAACAAGAAGCAAAAATCAGAGGCTGTATAAACTAGTTAGAGCACACAAAACCAAAGATTTCCAGAATCTCATTACCAGTAGCAAAAACACTCTCTCCGGGAGCCAAAACACCACCGGGAGGACGCATATAACAACTCTTAGGTGCCGTTGTTTGGAACTAAACAAGAAGATACAGAGTGACTTAGATGGAAAAGCACCAATTATTCTATCATTATAACTACATACAGAACAAACTAAAGTCAACCAAGAGTCAACTTCTCTGCAATTGCTTAACTTTTTTCCCAAATAAGTATCAAATGCGAGAACCAAGAACCACAAATTTAAAGTGCAGGATACATAACTCCATTACCTTGAATGCAGTATGAGATTTGCTAGTATTCTTAAGCTTGATTGCGCTACGCACTTGTTTACCAGTTTCATCTGAAATAAACACAAAGCACAAGTTCTAACTTCGTTTATCTAAAAATTGTAATCCAAAAATCTAGAGCTTCTAAATCACGTCCAGAGAGAGCTTCTCAAGAATTCTATGTTCATAACTTCGATTCTCTATCAGAATTAAGAACCAAATCAATCAATTTCCAGAGAACTAAACTAATTCGAAATCAAGCTAAATCGGAGACGACGTACAAGGGAAATACAGATAACTTGAAGGATCTAGTCGGAGACGACGGCGAGCTGGAAGAAGTGATCTGGCGACGGAAGACATAGTCAAGGACGGCTTAGAGACGGCGGAAACATCTGTATTCCGATTTCCATGGCGGCTACGGTAGTTTTGGTTTAGATTCTGTGTTGAAGACGAAGATGAAGAAGTGGTGCTTCTTCTCCTCTGCCAAAACGGACATAGCCTGAAGAGATTCTTCTTCTTCTTCTCCACACTCGGGTTTTGATCACCGGTCGCCATCGGAGATAATCAATTTTCCGGTGACCGGAGAACAAACTTTCACGAGTTTCGAATAATCTTTGTTTCTCTAGGAAGAGAGACAAATTGGTGTGAATTTCAAAGAGGACGACGAAGAATCGACAAAATAATGGCGTTTTCTTTTGGCGTTTTACTTCTGCGTCTGCGAGAGGGTCACGTGTGTTTTTTTTTAAAATCGGAGTTTAGATGAATTTATTATTTTTAGTTAGTATATAAGTTTTTGTTAAGTCCGTGTAACTTGGTGTGAAAACGAGTTTGACAAATAAAAGTCCAATGGAATTGAAAATCAGTGATAATTGGTTGGTTGGTTGTGAATTAATTTTTGATTCGTTGTTCTGTGCATTTGGTTGGTAAAGAGGCTTATATATATCACATCTGAAAACAAGTCATCATGTAAACTTTTGGATTAGCTAAAAATTGTGTGTTTGGTATATGAAATTCTATGCATGTATGTTATTGGTAATAATAGAATTAAGTGCGATTTTAAAGATTTGAAACCAGTCATATATCTTTAAATTTATATATTAGTAAAAAATGTCAGTTTATATGTTCTTCGAATTGCATTAAAATCGGTTTATAATTTCTCATTTGTTCCACGAAATGCCAAATTATGCTTTTGCAAGATATTTTACAATTGCAATAATTCTAACTAATACATTTTTCCAATATTTTTTTTCTTTCTTAAATTGTTCTTGAGCAATTTTATCAATAGTTTCATTTTTGTTAAGTCTATACCGTAATTCAACCCATGCAGTCATATTATATATATGCTCGTTACTTTTCTCATGCTCACTTAATCTACCAAGAATATGAGTCCAATCTGAAAAACCATTCTTTGCTAATTGACTTTTCCTAGTACCTTTCTTAAAAATCTTACAACAAAAACAAAAAACTCTATCCAATTCTTTTGAATAAACTAGCCATTTTCTATCACTTGGTTCTCCATTTGATAATTCTCTAAGGTAGAAAGATGAAACAAATCTTCTATGAACTTTATTTTTAGGACCTCTTATAATAGATAAATCTCTTTTTGGTCCGTTTATTGCAATGGTTTCTTTCATTTTTGAATCAAGCATATCCCAATTTCTTGGATCATAGATATCAAAAGCAAAACAAAACACTAACATCATCAACTTTTTCAGCCACTTCATCAGCATCTAATACTTGCACGTTATCTATATGAGCATCAATATCATCAATTTTTTCTTCATCTAAGCTCATTTTTAAAATGAATTTATCCATAGGCCTTTTTTTTTTGCCTTTTCACATAACTAGATGAAGACATAATTTGACAGTCAAAGTTCAATTGTTCAAACAAATAACAAAATCAAAATATAAACCAACTAAATTAATATAAGACTATAAGAGAAGAGAACAATAGAACCTGGATGAAATTCTGATAAAGAATTGAAGATTAGTGGATTATGAAACTGAGGACAATTCTAACCGTAGCTCTGAGCCTTTAAGTGTAGAGATTTATATTCTCGATCTTGTTGGCGAATTGGCGTTAACAGATATTGAAAATTGAGTGAGGAAAAAGTGAATTTCTTGATGTAATTTAATTTTGATATGAGAAAGAAAAATCAGAAACTGATTCACAATGAAATCAACTAACGGCTATATCATAATTAAGAAGAAAATAAAAGCTTTGACCTCTGGATATTAGAGTTGCTTATCTGATTTTGAAGTGATTGAGTCTTCATAGAATCCAAAAAAAAAGAAGGCAACGAGAGATTGCAAAAAGAAAAGACAACGACATGTTGAATTTGGGCTAAAAAAAATTGAATTTGGGCTTGACCCAGTGCAAATGCACCTCTTGCACTGGGCCAGCGCCGGGCCTACTTTTTGACCCTTCTCCAAGTATTTTCTTTTTTACTTGCCAATTCTTCTTTTAAACCTCTTCTTCAAGTAAATTTTTATTATTATATATAAGTCAACCCGTTGAATAAAATTAGAGAGGTTAAAGAAACATATCAATTTTTAAAAAAAAGATTTAAGAGGTTTTTCTCTGGGTTTTTATTTCCCCTTCTCCAAGTTCTCAGAGTTAGTTACACAGTTTCAACGATGAATCAACTCGCGCTTTCAAGATCCGGCGGTTACACGGCCGCCGTTAAGTTTCTCCCGCTACTTTCCGCTGCTGTTCCGAAGATCATATCTTCCCTTGCCGCCGCATCCACCACCACCACCGTCCGCAACTTCAGCTCTACCGGAAGTCCTCTCACCAGGTCTTTTTTAAGCTTTACGATTTCGTATACATTCTGTGAAATTTGAACGGATTTGACTGCAGATTTCGTATAGGAATCTTAGTATTGATTCGTTTTGTTTTGTAGCTACCTAACCAAGAAGCCGTCGCAGCCAAAATCCTTCGCCTCCAGGCTTCTCCATCAATCCTCTGCCGCTACTCCGCCGCAACAACTTTCCGGCGCCCGTAGCTTCTCATCTCCCAGCAGTGATTTCAACAGGTAGTTTAAACCTAATGATTTCGTTATACGTTTTGTGAAATTTCGATTTGAGTTCAGATTTTCAGTAGAAACCGTTGGATTTGATCGGTTAGGTTTAACGGATCTTCGCTGAAATTATTTTTTGTAGCTACCACATTAATCCGCCGGCTAACTGGGGAATCCGAATCGTGCCGGAGAGGAAAGCTTGTGTGATTGAGCGGTTTGGTAAATTCCACACGACTTTGCCGGCGGGGATTCACTTCCTTGTTCCGTTTGTGGATCGTATTGCTTATGTCCATTCTCTAAAGGAAGAAGCGATTCCTATTGGTAATCAGACTGCGATTACAAAGGATAACGTTAGCATCCATATCGATGGTGTTCTCTACGTTAAGGTTTATCTTCGTTTCAGATCCTTGGGCCAATGTTGTATAAATTTTGCTGTTCTTCCTGGTTTATTGTGTTGATTTGTCATTGATCTTGTGTTTTTTTTTGCAGATTGTGGATCCTAAGTTGGCTTCTTATGGCGTTGAGAACCCAATCTATGCTGTTATGCAGTTGGCTCAGACTACAATGCGTAGTGAGCTCGGGAAAATTACTCTTGACAAGACTTTTGAGGAACGGGACACTCTCAATGAGAAGATTGTGGTATGTTGTCTTTGCTTCTTTGTTTCTGGTTCAGTTTTTTGTTTGTTTGCTTTTAATGTACTTGAGCTTTGTTTTAAATTGAAAATTGGTATTCTTTGATGTTCATGGTCAGTGATGTTAATGTGAATTTGTAGTGGGTGTTATATTACTACCTAAGATTGCAAGTTTAGATTGTTTAACTGTGTTGTTCATTTCATGATAGCTGGCTATTTGAGTTTACTTTTGTTAGATAAGAGTATTGTTGTTTATGTGTTGGAATGCATTATGCATTATGCAATGGTAGTTAATGTGTTGATACTGCAAGCATCTGAACATGTTGAAATGGATTTATTCTTGCAGGAAGCCATCAATGTTGCTGCAAAAGATTGGGGTCTTCAGTGTCTTCGTTATGAGATCAGTGAGTGATTTTTCTGTTGAATCTTTGCTGGTGTTAGCTGGATACCCTTTAGGACTATATCTAAGATATTTATGTCCACAGGGGATATCATGCCTCCTAATGGAGTGAGAGTTGCTATGGAAATGCAAGCTGAAGCTGAACGTAAAAAGAGAGCCCAGATTCTTGAGTCTGAAGGTAAATTTGCTTGGCTTATCCTTGAAAGTTTCTGTTCTGGGATTGAACTATGTGCGTGCTACAGCTCTTTTAGTTCAAATTCTTGGTTCAATTTGTTTCTCATAATCTGCTATACTGACTTTAACAGGAGAACGCCAAGCCCATATCAATAGAGCTGATGGTAAGAAAAGTTCTGTAATCTTGGAATCAGAAGCTGCAAAGATGGACCAAGTCAATCGTGCACAAGGTTAGTATCTAGTAAGCATTTAAGGTTGAAAAACATGAACTCATCATAATAAGATGTGGAGCCATTCGTCTGTTAAACTCATATCATAACTGACTCAGTATGTTTCACCATAACATTTTTACTTATTTGTGCTGTTGCTATCCAGGTGAGGCTGAAGCAATATTAGCTAGAGCACAAGCAACAGCCAAGGGACTGGCCATGGTATCTCAATCCCTCAAGGAAGCTGGTGGAGCGGAGGTGAGTTCCTTAGATCAAGCCGTGGTTTCTAAACATGAGTTCCTGAATATTGAGATTAATGAATTAACTATTACTTAGGTGTTAATACTGTTTTATCAAATTGTTAGTTAATACTTAGGTGCCTATTGCTACTTAACCCTTCACATGTGAATGCTGCATAAAGATTTCAGTGGCTAATTGGAGTTTCAAATGTTGACTCTTAAGTTTTACTTGTTTTTCTTTCCAAAAGAGAACCTCATATGCTTAATTGTGGTGTGATATGCAGGCTGCGAGTTTAAGAGTTGCGGAGCAATACATTCAAGCTTTTGGTAAAATTGCTAAGGAGGTAAACACAACATTACTTGATCCCATCTACTTTTCTAATCTCGTCTTCCCTTGAGATAATCTAATAGAGTTATATTTTTTGTTCTTGTTAGGGTACAACAATGCTGCTTCCGAGTTCTGTTGATAATCCTGCTGGCATGATCGCTCAAGCTTTAACAATGTACAAAGGCTTGTCAACAAAGGTCCCAACAGTGCTTTCACAGAAACTTCAGGAGTAGAATCCTCTACCGACATGGTTGTTGCCAAACTTTCATAGAAGCTGAACCTAGGGAACAAAAATTCTTTTGACTTGTGCAGGCTTATAGCCATTTTCAGTTTTTCTATTCTTCATATGAGAAACAGTTATCTTACTTTATAACCATTTTGCAAACTAGAAAACAGATCTAATCTCAAATTTCTGAAAGAGTTTTTGCACCAGATTTGGTCTTTAAGTGTTGGCTCTTGTTATCTTTATATCAATATATCCAACTCTTGTTATGTTTTCTTTTGCTATTTTGTTGGTATTGTCGAGAATCTAATTGGCACAGGAAGAGTTTTTGGCTAAAACCAAAAACGCAAGAGCGGTTGAGAATAAGGTTTGTTTGTTTCTCCTGATGAATAGGTCGTTGACAGAGAAGAGCCTTAAAGAATCTAAGGTGACATGAAATTTTTAGTCTTTTTCCTGAAATAGCTTTGTGTTGTGTTGTGTTGGTACAAAACCACTATATATATCTCTTTGTTGTCTTCTCCTACATTTGCTCAGCCTCTAATAAGGAAAAAAAAACAAACAGTTTTGGCTTCTTGAAAGGAATCAGAAAAAGGAGTTTCATTTTTTAGCTCCACAGTTCTTCCCATTGTGTAAATTTGTTTTCGTTTCAAACCGATTTCTTTCTTTAAACACTATGGGAGGCTGTGCGAGCAAACCTAAGGAATCTGATATCCAAGAAACCGAAAAGACTGTTGTCGAGTCCAAGAACGTTGAAACCGAAACCGTATCTCAGGTTTGTAGATCAAGTTCATTAGAGACGATCACTTTTTTTATCTATTTTGTCTATGTTTTGGGTGAAAGATGTGTGATTGTTGTGTTGATTTACAGGAGAAGGCAGATGAAGTTGTCGACGAGAAGAAGGAAGAGTCTGCTGGAGATGTAGCAGAGACACAGAAGGAAGCTGAGGCAGCCAAACCGGCCGAGGCCGAGGCAGCCAAGCCTGTCGAGGCTGAGGTAGCCAAGCCTGTCGAGGCTGAGCAAGCCAAGCCTGCTGAGGCTGAGCCAGCTCCAGAGGCGGTGAAGACCGAAGAACCTGCCGTCGAAACTGTTAAGGAGACTGAGCCACCAAAACAAGAGGAGGCTGTTGTAGCAGCCAATGATACCAAAACCAACGAAGAGCCTCTTGTAACCCTTTGATTCTTTCGCATTTTCATTTCTCAAAACCCCAAATTGTAATATGTATATGTTTCTCACCACTGTTGTTGTATTGCTATTGTTACCACATGTACGTTAATGAAACAATAGACTTGTTGTGATTTGTGTTACCTCCTCCTATAAACATCTTTCACATTTGTGTAATTCTTCTTCATATAAATCTTATGCTTCTCTCTTTCTCAGTTCTAAGTCATGGCAAAGTTATTAATTTTAACTTTCCCAAATCATTTAAAACATCATAAACTTCCATTTTCCGTTTTGTGAAGATAAGGTTATAAAATATGATGAAATTGGGAAATTTGGATTCATTGAAATTGGGTTTGATTCAATTCTTCTCTGCAAACCAAAAGGGAAAACAAAAATGCAAACTTTATCGATAACTTTCTGCAACAACTGTGCCCTAGTGATAAGAAACTCTATCGGAAACAGAAACAGAGTAAATTTGAGTTTAATCTCGTCTTCTTCTCCGACTCTTGTTTGCCGTTCAAAGTCTAAATCTCAAACCGATAGCTTGAGGGTGTTGGAATGGGACAAGCTCTGTGATGTTGTCGCTTCTTTTGCTCGTACTTCTTTAGGTCGTGAAGCCACAAAGGTTTGATTTTTCTTTTTTGGTTTTCTTATGTCTGTAGCCGTTGATTCTCTGCTTTGTATTGACACAGACATTGTTGGTTTTCAGAAAAAGCTTTGGTCTCTTGACCAGAGTTTCAGTGAAAGTTTGAAGCTTTTGGATGAAACAGATGCCGCCATTAAAATGCTTGAACATGGTTCCTTCTGTCTTGACCTCTCCAGCATTCATATCTCCCTCGTAAATTTCATAATCCTCAATCTCTAAAGTGATCATCTTTGCATGAAATTGTATAGTTTTTGATGTAAATATTGATTTGTGTGAAGGTTGAATCGGGAATTCGTCATGCTAAGAGGAGGCTTTCCTTACGAGCAGACCAAGCACTTGAAGTTGCTTCTCTTCTTCGATTTTTCGATATGTTGCAGCTTGATTTGAAAGCTGCTATTAAGCAAGATGGAGATTGGTACAAACGGTTTATGCCTCTATCTGAATTGGTATTTGCAGCTTTCTCAACTTCGACATTTTGGTGGCACCTCTGCAAATATTCACGTTGTGTTTCCTTATCTCTCTTGCAGATAATGCACCCTGTGATAAATAGATCATTTGTCAAGTTGGTTGAACAAGTTATAGATCCTGATGGTACAATCAAAGATTCCGCGGTTTTGTTCTTTTGTCTCACTTTGTCTACATTGTCAAGAGGAATGATTCTTAGGTTGAACTCATCTTTATTGTTTCAGAGTAGTGCCCTGAGACAATCACGTGAACGAGTGCAAACACTTGAAAGAAAGGTCAAGTTAGTTTTTATTTGTAACTGTGAATTGAAGATTGTCAAAATTGTTTTTTTGAGTTTTCTTTGATATCTTTTGTTCTTTGAATATATCTTGCTTACTATAAACATGACTTGAGCAAGATATCTTTTAAAGTAACATTGTCTGAAACATTCATGCTGTCTCCTTTCAGCTGCAGCAACTGCTGGATGCTATCATAAGGAGTCAAAAGGATGACGAATCTGTCATGGTAAGCATTCTCTTAAATTCGCGTAGGTATAGGAGCAAATTTTCATTTTCTGAAGTTGGTCCTATTAATTATTCAAAATAAAATTCCAGGTAGCGGCTGAAATTGATGGAAGATGGTGTATACAAATGAGCTCAAATCAGCTAACTTCTGTTAATGGTCTTCTGCTTTCCAGGTAAAATTTGAATTTGTAGATTTAAAGAAGATTCAGAGTTTTGGATTGCAATTTATCAATGATTTATTATCAAAGAGTACATTACTATTGACCAACTTATTGAGAAGTTATGCTTCTCTTATTGTGATTTATTTTCAAATTCTATCTCTTGAAGGTAATATGTGTTTCAGTGGTTCAGGTGGAGGGACTTTGGCGGAGCCAATAGCTGCGGTCTCTATGAATGATGACCTTCAAAGTGCGAGAGCATCAGTTGCAAAGGCTGAGGCAGAGATTCTTTCAATGTTAACTGAAAAGGTAATTGAGTATTAATTTTTAAAGTTAGAATTCGATATTTTTTCTTCTTATTGTTTTCTGCTTGTTGACATTTTTGTTCATTTTGATGCAAGCAAAACAGATGCAAGATGATCTTTATCAGATCGAGGTGATGTTGAGCTACTCGATTCAGCTGGATGTGGTAATTATACTTTCATCACCAACCATTTCTATTTCCATGAAAGCAAAACTCAGTAAAAAAAATCCAGCAAGATGAGCTTCCAAACATGAGGTTTACAGTGTGTTTTTTCCGGCTAGATAAATGCTCGAGCAACTTACAGTCGTGCATATGGTGGTGCACATCCTGATATATACTTGCCACCTGAAGATGGGGTTGAATCTTTGTCTGCCGGAGAAAACTCAATGGAGAGTAACTTATCCAGTGAGAAATCGCTTCCTAGAAAAGAATGGTTGCTGTATCTACCTAGATGTTATCATCCTCTATTGCTTTACCAACACAAGAAAGGCATAAGAAAGAGGCGGGAGACGGTAAAAGTTCATAAACCAGTAAGTTCCTCAAATTTTATGATCATAGAGTCGATTGATGATGCATTTTAGCTGAAGTTAATATATACATGGTTACTTTTATAGGCAGACACAGTATTATCAGGAACTCCACCAATTCCAGCTGATTTCCAGATCTCCAAGGGCACTAGAGTTTTGGTTATTACGGGTCCAAACACAGGAGGTAAAACCATTTGCTTGAAATCAGTTGGACTCGCTGCGATGATGGCAAAATCAGGTAAGGCATATAAAACTTACAATTTATTCTGTTAATTAAAAACCACCAAAGATATAAAGCCCTTGGGATTTTAGTCACTTAAAACTATATCAATTTAAATGATTGTTATGGTTTTTGTAGGTCTTTATGTTCTAGCAACTGAATCTGCACGCATACCTTGGGTTGACAACATTTATGCTGATATTGGTGATGAACAATCTTTGCTGCAGTCACTTTCTACCTTTTCTGGTCATTTGAAACAAATAAGTGTAAGTCTGTTCTTTGTTGTTGTCACACCTTTTATATCACTTTTATGTGCCCTTTTTCTACGACTCAAAATGCTTTATTCCTATGAAGTTTGGACTCGCTAAATCTTACAGCATGATTTAATGGGATTAGATAAATTATCAGCGTTGATATAACTTTTATTGGTTTGGAATGATTGTTTAAATTAGTTTGGAAGATGTAACTCTCTTGATATATATACAACTCATGTTTCTTTTCCTCTGACTGGTAAAATTGCAGGAAATTCTCTCGCATTCAACAAGCAGATCACTTGTGTTGTTAGATGAAGTAAGCTAAAAGACTGGTCATGATAATATCGTTTAGGAGATTTAAGGTCGGGATATGTTTGCAAGAATCTGCTTTAAAGTCTTGCCTGCTAATAACAGGTTGGAGCTGGAACAAATCCGCTTGAAGGAGCTGCATTAGGGATGGCAATTCTCGAATCTTTTGCAGAAAGCGGTTCTTTACTCACGATGGCAACCACACATCATGGAGAGCTTAAGACGCTTAAATACAGGTTTTAACTGTACCTGACATTTTTCTTGGATCACCCAAGGTTTTAAATTTTTCTTGGATCACCCAAGGTTTTAAAGTGTATTCACTTTTCTATCTTTCCGTATCTACTGTAGCAATTCCGCCTTTGAGAATGCTTGCATGGAGTTTGATGACCTGAACCTAAAACCCACTTTCAAAATTTTATGGGGAGTACCAGGTTTAGCTACAGGCTCATCTAGACTCTTTAATGATCGATTTGTTGACCCCTAAAATGGAATCAGAGTTAAAATGCTTCACCAACCCACGTTTGAAATTGATTGTCAGGTCGATCGAATGCAATAAACATAGCCGAAAGGTTGGGGCTTCCATGTGATATCATCGAGAGTGCTCGTGAACTCTATGGCTCTGCAAGTGCTGAGATTAATGAGGTCATACTTGACATGGAACGGTACAAGCAAGAATATCAGAGACTTTTGAATGAGTCACGTGTTTATATAAGGTAAGATTCTATATAACAGCATTAGATCTTGTCCTCTCTTATGAGCTTTATATTCATGTTTTTCTTTCTCGGTTCTAGGCTCTCAAGAGAGCTTCATGAGAATCTACTCACAGCACAAAAGAAAATTAACGACCATGCCACCAAAGAGAAACGAAAAATGAGACAAGAACTAACTCAGGCTGGTTCGATGACTCGTTCTACACTTCGCAGAACATTGCAACAGTTTCGCGCATCTGCTGCACAATCTACTCAGTCAAGGGTAGCTACGCAACACCAAAAAAAAAGTCGAAACGACAAAGGATGAAGATAGTGGAATTCGTTCATCATCTGTGGTAGAGAGACGACCAACTTCTTGTATTTAGATAAGTTTAACCCTTTAAAAGATAGCTATTATCTGTTATGATCTTTGAAAACTGAACATTTTTATTCTTTTGCATTAACAGAAGCTGCCGCTCAAAAGGTTCCTGAAGTCGGTAGCTCGGTGGTTCGTTTCTTCTCTTGGTAAAAAAGCGACTGTTTTGAAAGTAGAACAGTCGAAGAAAGAGATCTTAGTGCAGGTAGGCATCATGAAGATGAAAGTGAAACTGACTGATGTTGTAGCCTGAATCTAAATGGCACAGTTATATTCATTAGTATCTAAACCAACACCGTTATATTAGCTTCAGAGTACAAATGATGTAATTAAAGTGATATGAAGAAATATTACCTACTTATTACATATGTACTTGTTGTATGCTCTTTCTTATACAAGTATATGGTAAAAGTCTGTACAGCTTGGGTATTGAAAGTGGTCCAGGTGAATTGTGTTTCTTTACTCCGAAGCTCCTGGCTCTTTCTCTGTTGGTTCAACATTTGTCTTGTTCAAGTCTATGCGTGAGAAATGGGACTTGAGGCCAATCCAACATTGGTAGTAGTCGTGGTCGAGGAAAGGAGACTCCAGAGCCCAATGGCAGACTCTAGGGATCAAGGCTGATTCAAACATGAAAGCCATCGTACCTGTGAGTTTAGAAGGAGCCATTGCATTTACTCGAGCTATTGTCGCCTACAAAATAATTATTAAATGCTTCAGACTTAAATTGTATTTCACATTCAGGGGTTAGATATATCTCTAGGGAAAATAAAATCAAATGTGTAGTTGCCGCTGTGCATAAGATGGATTGATACCTCGTATGTGGTAGTATCTGGACCATGAGGTGTCATACAACTGTGAAGACTTGCACCGCCAGGGAGAAATCCATCAGCTTTGGCCTGTGAATGGTGGAGTCAGTTTACAGATTTCAGGAGGAGGAGAACACAAGCCAGCTGATAATTTGCAGTAGCAGGAACTTAAAGCAGTTTACCTCGTATGCACCGTAGATTAAGCCCATAAATTCACTCATGCAGTTACGATGTAGTAAGGAGGTCAAAAGTATGCTCAGCAACCAACCATCGAGGAGGGAATATGACAAAATCAAGCAAGGCCACACCAGGTTTATCCGTTGGTGCTGTAAGAACTGAGAGTACAATAATTCCCAAAGAGTGTGATTTACAGTAACCAACCCATACGAAACAAACAAAGAAGAATAGGTTAGCGCACAGGACCACCAACCTGTATTTATAGATGGATCTCCATGATCTAAAAGGACAGTGTTGTATGGACAGAACTTCTGCAGGTCATACTGCAGACAGAAATTGAAATTCTCAGAAAAAATGCATTAATCTTTTACGAGATTAGGCTCAATAAATCATGTACTCACCTTATAAGGCACGTAATTGCCATGCCATGCAACCACATTGAATGGAGAGAAATCTTGTTTAGCAGTAAAAAGTTCACCGCCAAACTTCTGAACAATTGTGTATTCAGGCCGCAATCCTTCCTCAAACCACGCGGTTGGTGCAAGAAAATCTCTTGGTGCAGCAAGACCATTGGCACCTGTACACATCCAACGATGGATAAGATTCTTGTGAGAATCCATGTTATTCAGGCTGAATCTAAAAGAACTCAAGATATACCTATTGGTCCAAGATCAGGAAGCTGAAAATGAGCCCCATAGATTTCAGCAACATAACCACGCGACTTCCCATCGGTAAATCTACAGAGAAACGAAATCCTTGCGGTATAACAGCAATCTCACCAGGAGATACCAAAAGCCTTCCACACTCAGTTTCAATCCATAGCCCTAAAACACCCACCAAAATATCAGAATTTGATCAAAGACTATCTTGAATCCATTCTTAATACATGACTGACTAAACTAAACATTCTTGATTCATCTGACTTCGTTCCCAAAAGATGTGAACTTTATAACAATGAAGTTATGTAGACACAATTTGAAAGTAAGACAAGGACTAACTTACTTCCTGTTTGAGGAACTAACAAGAAGTCACCATCAGCGTTGCAAAATGCAGAGTCTTTCATTCCTTTGTTAGCCACATACCTTCAAACAAATGCATACAAAGAACATTACTTTATCTATCATTGATCTAAACCAAAGATACCCAAACAAAAAAAGAAAGATTTTTACATGTGAATAGCGAATCCATGGCGAAGAAACGAGCTTCCAGCTCCACAAATGGTAAATAACCCATCAACGAAATCAGTCTCCGATCAGGAATATCCTCAGGTCTCCACCGAAGCTGAGTCGGATTCGTACGACTATTCGATGCATCAAACTCACTCACAAGCTTCTTATGAGCTGGTACACGAGGCTTGAACGGTTCTGTGTAACCGATGGTTTAATCCGGTACAACCAACTGAAGATGAAGAAGATCAATTCAACGAAACCATCCAAAAATTACAAATCGAAAACAGTTGTACAGAAAAGGAACCTTCTTTGATTGAGCTTGCGAGGAGAAGTGAAAGAAGTACCGGAGATCTGCTCGGCGTAAAGACCGTAAGGACAAAGAAGAGGACTGTTCTGATCTAACGGTAGAGCTCCGGCGATTGCTTCCGACGAGAAGTGGTTACCAAAACCTGATTGATACTTTAACTCTTCAAGCTTCTTCTTCTCTTCCATGGCTTCTTCACATCAGAGACTGCAAGAGAGAGACGATGATCGATACATATAAACCAATAACGTGGAGGAGTGATGCTGACGTGGCATATTGATCAAAGAGGAAGAAGAAACAACGTCTGAATTTAAAACTCTTTTTCCTAATAATGCCAGACTTTCTACTTATTGGGCTTGAACATGAATGGGCTTTGTATACAATTAGGCCCATCAGCTTATGATTGCTTTGTTCTTACTGATTTTGCGTCCCACATCGGTAAGCTAGTGAAACAACGACTTCTTTATATATGGCTACAAAGTACTGATGGTCACGACCTTACTTGAACAGGATCTGTTCTATAGGCTCGTGCATCTGTTTCCTTGATTTCTCAAAAGACAGGCCCTTAACCCTGGTTGATGAACTATGACCGTGCGACTAGAGCGTGATTGATGGCTACGATCGTCTTAGGACGCATCCGGTGCTGTAGAGGATCGTTACTTGGCTCGGTTCTACCTTGCCGGGGTGGTTGCACGGCGGTCTGACAGGTTCCTTTTTTCACCCTTGCTGAACTTTTAATCTCTTCTATTTTCACTCTTTTACTTTTTTTTTTCTTGCTACACACACACAAGTGGTTTAGTTATATCAATCAAATTGAATAAAGAACCACTAAAATGAAAACCAAAACCAGACACACATGGTTCACTTGCTACACACACACACAAATATCTTTGACAACTATGTGAGTTAGGATTACAAACAAGATCACTAGACACTAGTCACACTACTCACTAGTTAAAAAAATTATTAGTAATGGAAGATATGTTTCTGATATACATGTATCATGAAATATAATAAATGATAGCTATCAAAGTCAAAGACACAGTAAACCAGAGCTACACTTTTTACAAGTCCCTTTTTACCTGAGCTACAGTAATCTAGACGACTCTGTACAAGTCCCTTTTTTGTATAGACATAAAACCATACAACGTAAGGTACATATTCGGATAAAGCATGGTATTGTGTATAAGTGTATCTTCTCTAATGCTATGTTACGTGTTTTGCTTCCATCGAACCACCATCAACAAGTAGGTCCTCTGTGTTAAGCTGACATCTCCTATTCCCGCTTTCATTGTTCCTCAACTCGGGATTGTGTTGTGTTGCAGCCATGGCCATAAATTCTCTAATGACCAGATGGTTTTCTACATCTAGCAAGTTCTTTTGAGTTTCTTGATCCTGAAGCAACTTGAGCTTCTTCACGAATTCAGCTGCTTGGAGCTCTCTCTGTTGTTTCATCTTCCTCTTTTTCAACAGTCTCTCCACAAATCTTTGATCTTTAACCAACTTTGCAAAGAAACTAAGCATATGTTGTTGTTCGGATTCAACTCCGTGGATCTTCTCCTGCACAGTGACCATCTTATGTTGAGATTCTTCCTGTTGTTGTTTCAACTTCAACATCTCCAATCTCATTGGACTCTGTTCCTCCTTCAATAACTCAACCTCTGTCTCTGTGGTGGTGCTCGCTTCCTTGTTACATCTTGTACTTTTGCTTCTCCTCTTTATGTTCTTAAGCAAATGTTTCTTCCCTCCTTGAAACCCTTCGTTAGCAAATTCCCATCTATCTGAATCAACCTTTTTAAAACCCTACAAAAAACCCTAGTTTTTACAAAGCCCCTGAAACAAGAAACGTAGCTAAAAAGTTATTAAAAAAAAAAACTTGTTTTGTGTGCTTACGTAAGAGTTAAGCTGACGGAGGAAACTGGAGAAGTTCTTGTGCTTGAAGTATTTAGGAAGAAGATTCTCTGAGAAGTCGTAAGAATCCCAAATGATAAAGCTTTTACGGGTCAGGCTCCATGATACAACCGGGTCTGTTACTGTGTCCTCAACGATCTCAAACGTCTTTCTCAAGAACGGTGTAATTAAACCTATCTCGTGCAATTTCCAAAAACCAAGTGAAACGACGTCATCTTCCTCTTCCTTGATTAGTGAAACGACGTGGTCTAGCTTCGTAGTCTCAACAACTGACGGAGACACCATCTCTTGACAAAGCGAAGACGAAGATTCAATATCGACAACATTTGGAATCGCCGTCATAGTAGCTTCCTACGCCGTTTCTATTTTTCTGAAACTTTTTGGCCGTTTATGTAAGAAATACATAATAGCGTTACTATCAAAAAGTTGCCACATTATGTAAAGAAAATTTTATTTTTTCACCCACTTTTTTTGGAATATATAACAAGTTAATAACACTTGTATAATCGCGTCTCTAGCTAGCCGTTGGATCTTTGTGGTCCGTCAAGATGAATCGGTGGTCCATTGAATTTGATTTCATGCATGAGGACATGTGTCGCTTGGGGAAAGCATATACATCGGTTAAATGGGCTACTATGCAAGTTCCTTTTTTCTATTAAGAAGAGAGTAATTAAAAGCTAAATTGTTAGCTAGAGTTACAGGGCTGTGATCAGAGCTACGTTATTCTATTATGATGATAAAATTCATATATTACTGTAGATGATGATAAAATTCATATATATATATATATATATATATATATATGTATTGAATTGAAATAATCAGCCATGCATACTTGTGAATATCAAAACTAGAAGTTTATATTGCAACTTCAATGTTATACGCACTAGAAAAATCAACCATTACTCAAAATGTAATCGAGAGTTTAAGGAATATATAAAGAGACATAATGGTCGATGAAGAGATCAACAAAAAACCTGTTATAGTGGCTTGGCATTGGTTATGGCCGCAGCTGAAGAAGCGGCAGTTACATAGAGGATAATGGGTTAAGCGATGAGCCTTGAGTGAATCCGGTGGGAAGATGAAAAAGGAAGAAGAAATACCATGGCTGGTGAAATTCGACTATGCTCACTTTGCCGCCATTGCATCAGTCGATTTTACCTTCCATGGTCTCCCTAACTTCCTCTTTCATATACTCACATTTTTGCGAGAATCAACTAAAGAACCAAGAATGGAATGTTGTAATCATGGTATGGTCTTGACATCGGCTAGCCCCGACTTCGATAGCTAGAGAAGCACTTGGATCCTACTTCCTTCCACTTAGTACCGTTTCCTTGTTTTAAGAGTAAATTGTTTGATTGTTATCAAAAGAAACAAACAATTTATAGAGGAACTCAAGTTAAACGTATACGTTAATTCTCATTATTATTTATTACAAGAGTTACATTTTAAGATTCGTCCGTTATGTCAACAACCTTTGGAATAGACTTTATACCATGTTGACTGTTAACATTGTAGTAAATAAGATGTATTCAAAGGACTAAAAGCTGTAACATTTATCCTATTTTATATATATATAGCAGCAAAGGTTAAAACTAAAATGTAGCTTTTGGGCTACCTAACTGACGATGCCATGCACAACCATATGGGTCCTTTTGCAAGATTTGCACGACTCGTATGAACATGGTCTAGATACTATAAGCCACCAATTCGAATACCACGCCCAATGATCTCCTACAACAAGCATAGCAACGATAAAAATTAAATTTCAGATTTTGTTAAACTTTTTATTGAGTTGGATTACTTTGGGCTTGTAAAATACTATTGTAAATACTATATTAGTTTGGGCCAGCAATGTATTGGTCGAAAACCTCGAAAGAGATGAGAATGGACATAGAAATTGCATAAAGCTTTCTTGCCAAGTTACAAAATGGCAATGCGCTAAGCGGGTGGTGACAAAATGCCTAACGCCTAATAGGGACCTAGGCGATTTTTAGGCGGTTTATACGTTTATAATATAAAACATTATAAACATGATATTATGTATAAAATATCTATAAAACACTAAAAATATGAAATCATAAACAAAAATTATGATAAAACATTTATTTATATTTATATTAAATAATATATGATATTTATAACTATATATATATATAGAGAAAACTTAATTGGAAATTGAAAAAGTACATTAAACAATAGATATGTAATTTTAGGCGGTCAAGGCGTCGCATCATAGCCTAGCGCCTAGTCGGATCCTAGGCGAGCGCCTAGACCGCTTTTTAAAACACTGTTTAAATGGAAATGAATCTAAATCAATAATTTGCACAAAACTTTCTTCTCAATTTACAAAATGAAAATTTTCTAAATCAATAATTTGCAAAAATATTTCTTTCCATTGACATATTAAGGAAATGCTAGATATTTAGACAATTTTCCAATTTGTTAAAGGAAGAGTTCCAATTTCTTTTTTTTCTTTTGTAATTTTCCTTTGTTTTTAGGCTAAGTCTCCTATATATATGTTTCAATAGAACACAAAAAATATACAAGTATTCTTCTACTTCTAAAAGCATTTTTTTTTTCTTACAAATCTAGCAAGATGAATTATAACGATCCATTAGACCCGGCTATGATCATAACGAAAGTGTTAACAAAGAGTGATGTTGTTGGTAATGTAGTATTACCAAAAGCAGAAGTGATGTCTGTCCTCACGAGGATGAATGTTAACGATCAAGATTTGGAAAACGGTGTTGAAGTGCAAGTCCACGACTTACTGGAAGACGATTTATACACAGTAACTCTGAAACTTTCAGGTATCGACAAGCCGAAATTTTATTTCGGGTCTGGTTGGAGTACTATGAAGCATTCGTTAGATCTTGAAGAAGGCCATGTTCTGAAACTCTACTGGAATCAGTGGGAAAACAAATTCGTTGTTCTGAATTTTCAGTATTCATTAGTTCCCTTAATGATTCCCGTGTAGCTCGCTTGCTTCGATCTTCTTTTGCGCTTTTTTCTATTTTGTGTTTTGGATTTCATATTCTAGTTAAGTGTTCGTTTTTTTTTGCATCTTGAATATCAATAAAACATTGTTTTTTTTTTTTGCCCTATTTTTTTCTTTCTTTTCTAATTTAATTGGATTATCTTGATTTTCAATAAAACCAAACTATATCCGAACCGACAACCGAATAACCGACTAATCCGAACCCAAAAAAAACGAACCGTATCCGAACCAAACCGAACCGATAACCAAACGGTTAACCGAAATATCCAAAAACCTAGAATATACCCAAAAATAATATCCAAAACTATAATTATAAACTCAAAAGTGTTAATATTTTTTTAGACTCAAAGCAATCAAATACTTTAAATAATCAACATATCCAAATATCGTTAGTTATATTTATCAAAGTTAAATACTTTTTTGCAACATCGAACTAAATTTTAATTTTTTTTTCTAATTTTTCCCCTTCTTGTATTTCTTTTTGTATTTTTCGGTTAATTTCGGTTATTTTCGATAAAAAACCAAAGCAAACAGGACTCGATAAAATTTCAATTAGTTATGGTTATCTATTCAAATATCTGAACCGAACCGAACCGATCCGAACTGAAATTTTCGGATGGTAATTATATTACCATATCCGAACTAACCGAAACCGAGCACAAACAAATTGAAACCGAATAGTTAACCGAATGCCCAGGCCTAGTTGTTTCCTTGAAAATATCTCAAAAACAGAGCAAATACTTTGATTAAAAAAAAAAAACAGGCCGAGGCAAAGATAAACTATCAAAATTAAACAGGAGGAAAAGATAAATCCTCCTAGTCATATAAAATAGAAATCATGCAAAAACAAAACCACATAGTACACTGTACACATACACACACAGACAAAATCTTTGACAATTATGTAAGTTCGGACTACACTCAAGTTTCTGAACCGCAAAGGCCACCAAGATCTTCCTCATCTCTCATCATCTGCTCCCGACTAACTTGAATGACTGAAACTCTGTTTGAGCTAAGCAAGAGAGAAGAAGAAGGTGAGATGTGAAACGTAGCAGAGGGCATCTTCGGAGGAAGCTGAGGCAATGGTGACTCCAAGTTCAGTACTTGGATCGCTTGCTTTATAGAAGGCCTTGAGTTTCTATCAGGATGACCACACCATAACCCCACAACCAGTAAACACTCGGCTTGATTCTTATCGAAATCCTCACCGAGTTTCTTGTCAATGGCTGACATAAGTTCTTGTCTTCCATACAAATCCCACACTCTCTCCACAAGACTCGTCTCAATGTTTTCTTCAGAATGATCAACTGACTTTTTCCCTGTGACAATCTCTAGTATACCAATTCCAAAGCTATAGATGTCAGATTCCTTGCTTGCCCTTCCATCCATCACGTATTCTGGAGCCATGTACCCAAAAGTTCCTGCTATCCCCGTTGTATGGGAACCTAGTCCATGGTCCATCAATCGAGCCAGTCCAAAGTCACCTACTTTTACATTGAAATTGATGTCCAACATGATATTGCTTGCCTTGATGTCCCTATGCAATACACACCGATCTCCTTCCTCGTGAAGATATAGAAGCGCAGAGGACAGACCGAGAGCTATCTTGTATCGTATCTCCCAGGAGAGATGGGGTCTTTTCCCAAAGAGGTGAGTGTCCAAGCTACCATTCGGCATGAACTCATATATCAGTAAATACTCATTTTTTTCATTACACCAACCAATGAGTTGCACCAGGTTTCGATGTCGCAGTTTGCTAATGATCTTAACTTCGGTTACAAACTCTTTCTTTCCCTGCTTGGAACCACCAGACAATTTCTTCACTGCAACCATCATATCCATTTCGTTCAAGTAACCTCTATAAACGGCTCCAAACCCTCCTTCACCCAGCTTCCTCTGGGCTGAGAATTTGTTGGTTGCTATAACAAGATCCTTATAAACAAACCTCCGTGGTCCTGCATCCCGTTCAAGGTCTTCGTTTAACGATACCAAATCTTTTATCTCTTTTGCTTTTCTCTTTCTATGCTTCTGCAACAAGACAACCACAATTGTGACCAAAGAGAACAGAAAAACAAACCCAGAAACCGAAATGCCAACTATCAGTCCTTTCCTGATAGAGGCTTTCTCACTATCCAAACTTGAGCTGAACTCCCATGATAAAAGTCTATGTCCCTCTATGTTTGATCCAGTAGCGGCTGAAAACCCGACCGTAACATCTGGTGGCAAAACCTTTGCAAGATCAATGATATAAGAAATGCCTAAACTCTCCCGAGGATCAGAGGTCAATTCATAAGCCCAAGACACACTCAAGTTCTTAGTAACAGAGTTATAGGAGATCTTTGCATGACCAATATCTTGGCTGTGTGAGCTTGCATTCCAAGAAGTGTAGTTAGACGAAACAAGCGAGTTATTATTGATTCCCACATGAGATCCAACAGTACTAGGATCCCATTCTTTGTTACTGAATGAGTCAAACTCGATATGAACAAGCGGAAACGAAGATTTGTAATCTTCGATTCGAGTAAAAAGACCCAAGAAACCACCAGCTGAGTTCACAGGGAGTTGAATTCCAACAGGAGCAAGAAAAAAGCAGATCCCATGACCGTAATTTGAAAGGTTACGTGTATCAATTCTAAAGGAGAAACTGGTATTAAAATCTGTAGACTTACCAGTTTTAGGATTCCAGAAAGGCACTTTCTCAGCATAAGTAACCCAACCAACACGAGCTATATACTCTACGTTGTTGAAGTTTACCGCCCCATCAGGTATTGCATCCCCGTGGTAAACCACATTCTCAGGATCACCTGGACGAAAATTAGTAAACCTAAAGTTAACTGAATCAACAATGAAAGGGAGACCAAAGATGAAGGAAAGGAACAAGATTGAGTTGGCCATAAAAGGAGAAAGAAGAAAGATTTTACAAAAAACAACAGAGCAGAGCAAAAATGGTCTGATCAACACATAATCAGTTCAAGAATTTAAGAAAATGGAAACTCAAGAGGCTTATTTGAGGGTCCATTCAACAGAACCAAGTCATGAAACAAGAAAGTTCTGTCTTTTTTTAAACGTTGCTTAATCTGCCAGACGAAAGAATGGTATAACATAATCTTTGAACATATTGACCACATAGTTAAAAACTAGAGAACAGGTCAATGTGGGACAAGATCAACTTACATTTCGTACGTCTTGTGACTTGACCATTGCACCATTGACACTACTCATAGCCCTAGATTATGTTTTACAAAAGGATGATGAAGATGATATTAACGAACGAGTCATTTAATACGAACTCAATATATTTGAAAAGGGGATGAAATTAGGGGTTTTAAGCACCTGGGTTTATAGAAAGGAAGGGTCTTTTCGAGCTCGAAGCTCTCATTCCATGGTGCAATCTGTTGAAACTCCGTTCCCATCGACTAGTGATCAATCGGCCCGAGCTACTAATGAAGATGACGACGATTCAGCCGCACAGAAGAAGCGACTCGAACCGAGTCCTAACCAGATTAAATTTTGCTAGGTGTATAAAAACCGGCGGTTAAAAACCAGATAACCATGCGGTTTAGACATAGATGGAAATCTCCGGTTTTAGGACTTCTTTTCTTTCTTGATGGGCTTATAAATAAACAAGCTATGGCCCATACCTCTTTGAATTAATAAAGGGACCCAAGAATAGATGTTTTCTTACTGATTTGAGAGTCCCACATCGCTTGCAAAACTTAGGAACAGTGATTAACTCGACTATATATACAGATCGAGAGCGAGCCAATATAACTCACGCAGCCGTGCAGTGAAGACAAAGCGAACTATTCTTTCGCCTTTTACTAAAGAATACCGTGTCTTCTCTGCTCTTAGCGGCATACGCCTATTTTTGGAAAGGTTTATTACCAAAATTATAAACCTCCATCAATTCCTCAGTCATAAAATGATTATGATTAGACTATATTTCTCTAGTATTACTATTGGTCGAATAAACTAAGTGTTTATAATTATTCTGGTAATAAGAAAATGTTTTCTTTGAATAAGAGTTTGGTTTGTAAATATACCACATCAACTTTCTGCAATGTGAACTCTTTGTACGTATAAGCTTGATAGAGTTTTTTTTTCTACTTGAATATGATCTACAAAATTTGTTCCTTCTCTTTTATCATTTGTCTTCAAGGCAACATACCCGAAATATAGAGTTTTTAGATATAGATATAGTTGTGAGATTAAGCTAGAAACTTGATTTTTTTTAATATATTATTGTAGAAAATAAGATCTAGAACAAACCAACAAGCCAACATTTGGAATAGGGAAATTCATGAATTTAACGAGCCTAATTTAAAACATTCTGAATGATGGTCACATAGCTACTTCACTTGTGTGTAGGAGCGGCTGTGTTAATGCGAGAACATTCATTCTTCAAAAGAGGAGGGAAGAACGGATTAAACGGAAACATTTGTGGCCAACATTTGGCATCCACAGCTGAAAACGCCTTGCAGCACATTGGTCCAACATTATCAAACTTTCCTGTGAAAACTGATTTGTGGATTTCAGATACACAACCTTGAACGTTGACAAGTGATAACAAACATTTTGTGAGGTCGATCGGAGAACCAGGGATGAGAGGGAATTGAGGTGTCGTGTGTGCGGGTGCACCTGAGATGATGCGAGAGCAACCATCCTTGAGAAGAGGAGGGAACAATGGATTCAACGGAAACATTTTTGGCCAACACTTTTCATCCACTTCCGTAAACGCCTTGCAGCATGTTGGTCCAACGTTTTCAAACTTACCGGTTAAAACAAATTTAAAGATTTCGACTTCGCAACCTTGAACGTTGATGAGCGATGACCAACATTTTGCGAGATCAACTTGGGAGCCGAGCGGGGAAAACCCAGAAATGGTAGGGAGTTGAGCTAGCCCTGACTTCACTAAAGTAGTGGCACACAAAGTCACAACTAGAATCGTCGAGAGAAGAGCTTGGATCTTACCTTCCATGGTGACTCTTGTGATCTTTTCTTATGTTTTAGTTTCTATGAATTGAAGAGTCGATCGTTTAATTTTGATGGTTTAGCTATCAAAATAAACAAACAATTTATATGGTAATAAAACGAAAGAAACGTTAAAGTAATTCCGAGAGTTACCACTTTGACAATCGTTCTTAAACAACTTTTGAATTAAAACATGTAACGTTGACTGTGGGATCAATAAGCGTAACGAACTAACGACTTTTTATTTGCTTAAAGAGTGGGCCGAATCTTTCAGGCCCATGACTGACCACATGAAGTCCGGTTTTGTCTTTTTGTTGATGTTACGATACCATCACGTGTTTGCACTTACCAGGAGGTTACACTTTTTTTTTTTTTTTTTTTTTTGGTTTTAAAGGAGGTTACACTTGCCCGGTCATTTGGTTACCCAATAAGTCAATAACCACACACCATTCATCACGACACTCACCAATCCGTTAATGGGTTTATATACACACTTAAAACACATAACTCAGAAATGAAACAAAAAGAAAAACTCTAACAAATCTTCCGGTAGTTAAAGAAAGTGCAAGACAGAGAAAAAAAAAATGGGTGATTTTGGATCAAATGGTTCGTCAAGCATGAGCATTGTTATGTATCCGTGGTTAGCCTTTGGTCACATGACTCCTTTTCTACACCTATCCAACAAGCTCGCAGAGAAAGGTCACAAGATTGTTTTCTTGCTTCCCAAGAAAGCACTAAACCAGCTTGAACCTCTTAATCTCTACCCAAATCTCATCACTTTCCACACCATCTCAATCCCTCAGGTCAAAGGGCTCCCTCCCGGTGCGGAGACAAACTCCGACGTCCCCTTCTTCTTGACTCATTTACTTGCAGTTGCAATGGACCAAACCAGGCCAGAGGTCGAGACAATTTTCAGTACAATCAAACCGGACTTGGTTTTCTATGATTCTGCCCATTGGATACCGGAAATTGCTAAACCGGTCGGTGCTAAAACCGTCTGCTTCAACATCGTGAGCGCTGCATCAATCGCACTGTCTCTTGTCCCTGCTGCCGAGAGAGAGGTCATTGATGGGAAGGAAATGTCAGGGGAGGAGTTAGCTAAGACGCCCCTAGGTTACCCTTCTTCGAAAGTCGTCTTGCGTGCGCACGAAGCAAAAGCCCTAACCTTCGTGTGGAAGAAGCACGAGGGTATTGCTTCTTTCTTTGACGGGAAAGTTACCGCAATGAGAAACTCTGACGCAATCGCTATAAGGACTTGCCGTGAGACAGAAGGCAAATTCTGCGATTATATCAGTAGCCAATACAGCAAACCGGTTTACCTAACCGGGCCGGTTCTGCCTGGATCCCAACCTAATCAGCCCTCCTTAGAGCCTCAATGGGCAGAGTGGCTAGCCAAATTCAACCCCGGTTTGGTTGTATTCTGTGCTTTTGGTAGCCAACCTGTTGTAAACAAGTTAGATCAGTTTCAAGAACTCTGTTTAGGGCTAGAATCAACCGGTCTTCCGTTTCTGGTTGCTATTAAGCCTCCTTCGGGTGTATCAACCATCGAGGAAGCCTTACCGGAAGGATTCAAAGAGAGGGTTCAAGGACGTGGCGTTGTGTACGGCGGTTGGATTCAGCAACCGTTGGTGTTGAACCATCCTTCAGTGGGATGTTTCGTTAGCCATTGCGGGTTTGGGTCGATGTGGGAGTCTTTGATGAGTGATTGTCAGATTGTTTTGGTTCCACAGCACGGAGAACAGATATTAAACGCGAGGCTTATGAGGGAGGAGATGGAAGTGGCGGTTGAGGTAGAGAGGGAAGAGAATGGTTGGTTCTCACGGTGGAGCTTAGAGAATGCTGTGAAGAGTGTGATGGAGGAAGGTAGTGAGGTCGGTGAGAAAGTGAGGAAGAATCATGAGAAGTGGAGATGTGTTTTGACTGACTCTGGTTTTGCAGATGGTTATATCAATAAGTTTGAAAAGAATTTAATTGAACTTGTGAAGTCATGAGTTCATTTTAATAATTTCAATGTGTTATAAACATTATGAAACGACACGTAACGATTATTTATGATTGGTGTCAATCGTATTTAACCACAACCGTTCGTTAACGTTGTGTTTGTGGACAGTTGCAAAAACACGCAGAAACTTTTGAAAATCACTAGAGTTGAGTTTTAGTGATATTTGAGAGTCAAATCTTCCCTACTCAAAAATCAAAATGTTTACAAATATGAAAAGAAAAAGGCAAAGCAGAGTTAGCAAGGGAGATTCGTTGGCAGGATGAAAATGTCAAGATAATAGTGTATATATCTTGTTATTTTTTTATTTACAAATTCCAAAGAATGCGACGACTTTGGTAATCTGAAGTTGTGGACCCGATGATACATGTTACCACGTTGGCTTTATCGAAACAAGTGAGCAGGTCATATATTATTAGTTAGTGTATCATTAATTTACAGCTGTTTTGTTACCACATATCGTGGTTTCAATAATTTGTATGCCTATTTAAACCCACCCATTTGTTCATTTTCTTTTATGATATACATCATCTACCAATGGAGATGATCTTACATGGGTAGTTGACAGATAGTGATCATTAGTTAATAATTTATGCGGAAAGTCCAATAGGCTAATGGAAGTATCCAAGAAACCCAAACAAGTACTACTATTTATTTCATTTGGAATATATATATTTCTTACAACTTGTAATAAACTTGCGTATATATGTTTAAATTTCTTAATATTTTAATTAGCTGGCAGTGTCGGCCGACCAATTACCATTAATTGGTACAAAGAAAATAAACTAAAAATGAATTTTATGAGTTCCACGGAAGTTAAGTACTAGTACATGATGAGGAGTTCACAGGACACAAATTATATAAATCAACTTCTGCTTTCTTTTCCTTCTTTGATTATAAAAGAATGTCTTCTATTGATTTCGAAGTAGCCACCATGCCCAAACTCACGGTTCCATTTCATCATCATCCTTTATCAAGCTATACTTTTAATTATTTGGGATCTTGCTCTTTGTGCTCTGCAGCTGACATCCATTTGTATACAAGAAGTAAGTTCACTAGCATCGGCTATCACTGTACGGATTGCGGCTTGAAGTTGCACAAAGAATGCGTTGACCGCCACTTCCTCATCCGGCCATTTCTATGCAATCACTTTCTCAAGATCTTCCCTACTACTCTCACATCATCTGACCGTACAGATGACTACTCTTGTCATTTTTGTCAAAGTAAGCTTACGTCTTTCTTTGCTCGTTGCACGATATGCAATATAAACGTGGATCAAAAATGTTCTGTAGCATTGCCACCACTCACAATTTCCAAACCAAAGCACCACAAGCATAGCCTC